TCACAAAATTGTAAGCGACGTCCGTCCATCAGGGACGATACGATTACTGATTGCGATAGCGGCGGTAATCTTCTTGAGAAATTTCATAAAACACGAGAACGAAAATAGCAAAGCTAAATAATTAGCCTGTTGCCTTGGTTGGTTTGGTTGTGGCCTGAATGGATCAATTACTTAAAGGACAGGAAAATTTTATCATATTAATAGTTAGAAAAGGGAATATGTAGTATATGAGTATTGCATTATTTACATAACCAGTTGCGCTTAATGTGGTATTGACTGAAAATTATTTTATAGCCTCAACTTAAAAAAAAATAAAATAAAAAGAGAGTATTGGGTTCGAATCTCTGAGTCTGTCGGCATTTAAGTGCGAAATTTAATTTGAAATTTACAATGAGCTGGGGTGCACGAAAGGAGCCTCGCCACACAACGTACCATTACTTTCCTGTAAGTCTGGTCATCCTCGGCAAGAATTGGCGAGTACCTTACGCCAAAGCCAAAGTCAAATAATCTTTAGTTCATAGGTAAGCGAATTACACTTGAAATTAAAATCTACTGCTCATTCCTAAGGCAGATTCCTCTGAAAAGAATAAGCAAGAAACTCTAGTGGTTCCTCTTTGTAAATATACATTTGAATACACTTATCATTACAATTTTTAATTTAAACATCTTAGATCGAGAATACGTGAAAAAGTTAAACGGGTCACAACCATAAATATAGGAAAAAAGGGGAGATATGTCATGACTGTATGTATACTTTCTAGCTTGTGTGCAATTCAAACTTTACGCTCTATTATCTACTACCATAACTTAACCATTTTCATTAGTTAGGGCTTAAAACGTGAAAATGACTTAACACAATTATTAACCGGTGATATGTTATTCCACTGGTTTTTAAATATTTGTTATTTCAATTTCTATAAGCTATAACGCTACAACCAGGAATTTACACGTCTCTGTGGCGAAGTATGAAGGTCTGTCACCTCGATATGCGCGTCTCGCGCATATCGAGGCGACATACATGAACCACGCTTTTTGTTTCACAAGTTTTAAACCTCGTAAATGGCAAATTTTGAATATCAATCGGAATGTTATTATTGAAGTGTACATTGCCCCTTAAATGAATTTGAGACTTTATGAAGACGAAAACGCCGATTGGGAAATCCTTTCAAAGCGACAGCAAGCATTATATTGTATGCCACTGATATAATAAGAAAAACCGTGAGCTTTTCGGTGACGGAAAATATCCTGAGAAAACCTACACACATCTGTAAAGCAATTTAATGATGTGTGTGAATTCCCTATCCACATTGGGGCCGCGTGGGAACTGTAACCCAAACTCTGTCATTGTGAGAGGAGACATGTGTTTCGCAATGGGGCTGTTACAATCAACTTACACGAAATTAGTTTTTCGATAGGTAACTTAAGTTGAAGTGATATTCAAATAGACATTTTGACGAATTTTGAAATTCGCCAAAATTATGAATTCAACTTGTTTTTATAAATGATAACGAAAACAAAATAGGTAGTGAACCACGGGGTACGAAACATGACTACCTTTAGGTGGCTCGATAAAAAATAATCACAAAAATTCTGCAAAATTTTCTATTTTTCATCTACGGAAAAATCAGTTTCATTCGATGGTTGTCAGAGATATTTCCATGAAATTATTTCTCCCGTGTTCCATAATAAATACTTCACGGGACTTGAGCTTATTTTACAGTAAGAGAGTATATATTATTTCTAAAATGTTTAAAAATCGTGCAATGAATTTCTCCGCGTCTCCCCCAGACGCTTTAAAACCACAGCAAGCAACCATTTCGTCAAAAAATAAAAACAGGTTACATCAGTGCCACCAATAGCTGAAGTCATCGGGGGGTTGCGGTGAAAATGCTCCCGTCCTTTTTAGCAAAACGGTCATTAGTACGTGACTTGTACAGGGCCATTCCGGTTATGACGTCACAAACAAGTATTGCCATTCTTTTAACTCCTAGAATTAGATATGTTCTTTTTTAATGAATATAAATTCTATTTTCACTTAAGATTTTCACATTCGTTCATCATTATAAGTTTATATTTTAATGCTAACGAAAAGTTTTTTTCTATACATGTCCAACTATATATTTTTTTAAATGGATCGATATCAGCTCTTCTATTATTCATTGGAAAATATTTTGGGTGGTGATTATACGTATTTGTTACGAGTAGGTAAGGATGCGTTTATTTTCAATAACTTGACATAATATTTAGTTTGTTTTTTTATGACACTAAGCGATGGGACGAGCAAGTCGTGCGCCTGATGATAAACGACACGCCTGTCCATAACAGTTGCAGTGCCACTCAGAGCTTTAAATCGCTAAGAACCGAGGTGCACTGCCTCTGCGCCCATCATCCTAAGACATAAGTTGAAAAGTCCCATGTGCCTGTAATTTCCCCAGCACCGGAAAGCAGTAATGATCACTTTACTGCTTGGCTGCAGAAATAGGTAAGGTGGTGCTATTTCCCTGGGTGAATTATTTCACAAGGAGCTCTACTGCTACTCAGTTCATTGAATATCTTGATGTTCTATTACCATGATATTCAATCAGGCATGCTGAAGGCGCTGGTTCTAATCCAGCTGGATCGAAGGAAGTTCTCTTAGTGTTCGATCTTTGTATTAATAATTATAACTTGGAATAACTTAAAGATGTTAAAATTAAGTACGACGGACCACATACAGATAAAGTTGTACAATCTATCAGTGACGAAGGGTTAAATATAATACGACTCTCACCGGCTTGCCTAAGAAACATATTCTCCATTTTAGTAAGTAGCAGATATTGAACAAACAACTGCCAACAAATATTTTAGCAAATTATACCTAATTATGTTATCATAATGTCTGAATTGCTTATTTAAAAGCTCTTGTCCGTTGAGTAATCACCAACCATGTCTGTAAAACGCCCTATAAACGTCTATAAACCTGACGTATTAGAATTCCGGATTCATTGTTTGATCTAAATAACTTCATCTAGGTCTTTCCCTGCATGTCTATCCTTCCAACGTCTCTTCTATAATGCTACTAAGAAAACTGTTGTGTCGCATCAGACGCTCATACATGTTTCCCCTGCGGTTTTCCTATTATCTTTAATAACCTCATCTTTTCCTGCTCTATTCTTAACACATCCTCAATGGCTTTCCTTTCTGTCCAACTGATTCTCTTTTTCACTGATTCTTTCAAGCTTTCTGTCTCTCTGTGTCATTGTCCACGTCTCTTTATCGTAAAATTCCAATTTCAAATGTATACTTGCAAATTGGCAGTTGTTGTTTGAGCATACATAAAAATAATAAAAAGTTCTTTAAGTATGACCCCCAATAACGAAACGAAATTTTATTCACATGTTCGCTGCATTTCTGCTCACTTTTACATAAATATCTATAGTACTTATGTACACGACAGACGGTGCCATATAAACCCACAGAAAATTATATAAAACCCAATTACATTAATTAGAAAAATAAGCTTCATTCTTGTAATGGCGTCACGCGCCATATAACAAATTTAAGTATTCGTTTTGTCAATTCGAACAGGAAGGGGAGGTTATCCCTAACCTTTCGTGTCTATCCAACATTTAATACAATAAATAAATCAATCTCTCGTGTTTTGTTATTGTAATGTTTTGTTTTGTATTGTGTCATATTACATTTTTCATTCCCGATTCTCATTTATCTCTTTGTTGCTATTAATTCATTAATAATTTACTCCATTGATCGCATTTGATCGTGATAAAAAATAACGTATGTCATTTTGCGAGTCATTCGTCATCGATGAAATCTTCGCATAGATGTGGATAGACGCTTATAAGTACGCATACTTGCTACATGAACTTAGTCGTGTCGAACAATGACTGTGTTCTTATTTTCAATAGACTACATCATAATTACGCAATTGTAACATTGTTTATGTAGGAAATAAAATGTCTATTAAAAACCAAAACAAATCTTTAGAAGAAACTAGAATCTCGCTTTCGACTATCGACATACATATGTATTTAAAATGGTCGTTGCTCAAACACCCCATCAATACAAAGAGCATAGCTGGTACGACACGACACCCATCATTCAACAAAAAGAAAAAACAAACTGATTTCGTCGTATACGTACGCCATTATTTGTATACAAAATCGTCTCTCAATTGTTTAACTTTCACAAACCATTGAATCATTTACCGTGAAGTTTGCAGTCACATTTCACTATCACGGTTGTATAAAAAGCACTAGCAGTATTAGGCGTGAAAAATTGCCGAACTGGAACATTGTACGAACCTACCGCAATGCTCCGTTGGTTATCGAACGAGACGCTCGCGAACACTCCCGAATATTCCAGAAGAAATCGGCACGAGTGGCGAGGCCGGCGGCCGGCGCGGCACTGCGGAGACCGGCCGGCCGCGTGCTCGGCACACCCCTCACATCCATTACGACCTAACTCCTCGTAGCCAGGAGCAAAGCTACACCCTATGTTCTACCTAAAATGATCCTATCTCCTGGACGGAACCAGCAAATCGATTCTCACCAGGACACTGTGTAAGTAAAAATGTTTGTTTCACCGACACTGGACGAATTACGAAACGTAATGTAGAGGCGAAAATATAAACAAATCGCATGAACTGCTCGTCGTCTCTCGAATTTAATTAGCTGTCGATGTCCTCAGTTGACTCTTTAATGATCAAGAAGTAATCTGAAGCAATTGCGTCTTATGATTGACTGTCCTTTTTCTTTTTACGGCGCAATCCGCTCTACATACAATGTATAAACGTTTTCTGGTCGGTAGCCGCTTGTGATGCGAGTCTTTGGGCTAATCTTGCAAATTACATAGCAGTTTTTTTTTTACTTTTTTTGCAGATAAAAACGCAATATGCTGGCCGAGTCGCCACAGTAAAAAGGATACCGTCCGGAAAAACGGATGAAGAATTTCTTTGTAAAGAAAAAACAACACTTGCTTATATGTTTTATATTCTTTATTGATGTTGGTTCGTTTTCGTAAGCTTGCGTTTTCGGTAAATATTTAATAAAACGCGAAATCAAGAAACTAGGTCTTCAATTTATAAGATACTCAAATGGTCGTTACCAAGTTCAACACCCTCTAAACTTAACAATTTTATGCTTCTGCAAAATCTGTGTCGAAAATTCTGACCTCATCAAAGATTTTACAGTTAGAAAGCGGGCGAAGGATAATTTTAGTTTCAGAAAGGCGGTAGAATGTTTAACTTTGGGGAAAAAAGGAATTAAGGAAGACTAAGTGGTAGTAAATAAGAACAAAAAACTAACACTATTTTACCTAAAACGAATGAACAATATTTCAAGAGCTGTAGCGGACTGTTTAAATGGGGTTGGGGTGCTAACGAGTAGTGAGTAAATCCTCAGAAAATGTATCTAACAGTTTATTTAACACAAGTAATAGAAGAAACGAAAAAAGGTAGTTATATACGAGCATCAAATAATTACAAAACTGACAAATCACAGAAAAGGAGCCAAAAACAAATACATTTAAATTTAGAATTTAATGTTAAATTAAACAGACAAAAAAAATGTATATACAAAATGCAAAACATATTTGTAGCGACTGCTGTGCTGGAGCACGTTAGCAATCACAAACAAAAAAGATACAAACAGCAGTGTTTTCTCTTTCGCCGTCCAAAATGTTTTCGTATCGCGTCATAAAAAGGCGTCTTTATACGCAAAAATATTGTAGGCGGGACTTTGCATAATCCATTAATATATAAATAAAATAAGCAAATTCAGTGCATGGGATTTGGGAAAAATATTATATTCTGTCAATTTCATTGCGAAAATGAACTGAACGAAAGGTATGTCGTATCGTATTCGTGTCGTGTCCCAATGAACATGAATACACGATTATTTAGAGCTTGAGTTACCATACCCCGTTAATGTATAATCAAATAAAAGCGTATAAACATCCTTGAATTACAAATTGTTAGCCAAATCAAACCGAACTACAATTGTGGTAAAGTTTCCAACTAGTAATCTTGTTGCTATCTTGATATGCCCATTAAATGAAACTATAAATTTTCGAATGAGTATACATCAATGCTTTGAATTTTATACCCATAGTGCCATCCTTATCATAACTAAAGTAATCGATCGATATCTTTTAGCGCAATTGAGTTATTAACATATCAGTGATCAGCGAAACAAAATCTACAACCTCCTCGAATCGATTTTTTTAACACCTTACGAGTGTTTGGTTTTAGTTTTATTGTCAGCAAAATCAACGTAATTGAAAGTTTAAGGTAGCAACAAATTTGTGCAAATATCTCGAAACATTGAACAAATCAAGAATATTCTGCCATGTTTTTAAGATTCGTGCTTTCCTGGAAATAGATAAGTACGTATTGTAGATTGTGGCGCAAATTCCTTTTAAAGTTTCAAAGCTGCCAGTATTTAGTAGCTATCACAATACCCGTTCCAACAGTACACGTATACATACATCTGATGAAGCCCGTGTGAAACTGAACGGTTCACTTCATTGTAAAGTTTCTTTAGAGGACGTTAACATCTACCGAAGCGTGAAGCGACCCCATTTTGCGACGTCACATTTCCGGTTTTGTTGGCATGTTTTTACCTACACTTGATAAAAATAAAACTGAGTAACAAATATGTGTTATTTAGTAGAGTATTCGGGACGCAAGGATGGTGGGTTTCAGGGATACCAGGGTCTGTAAAAGAACGGAATAAAGTTAAAAATTTGTGTACAAAGTTCAGGGTCCAGGACTGAAATATGAGGGAAGCATTTCGACCTGTCAAAAGTATCGCTATCACAGATAATCTGTCATTATTGACTAAAATACTTACCAAAAACAAAGCCATCATTTTTTCTTGACAGGAACAACAAACAAATAACAGAAAAAATACTTACCCATTTGAACGGCTGCTGAGATGGTCAACGAGTTTCCTGTAAAAAGAGAGAAATATTTGTACAAATCAGATCCATTATGATTCATTATGCTTATAGCACTAGTAAACCATTTTCCTTCATTTTTCATCTTAATCTTAATAGCACTAGTAAAACCTTTTCCTCCATATTCCCTACATTAACCAACACAAGCGTATTGGGCAAAATGCAATAGGAAATATTACATTTTAAATACAAATTAAGGCTGCTACCAGATGGACTGTATGCCTGCAGTTAATGCGGTCATCGTGGGCTGCAGCCGATGTGAACGATAGTCCGAGAATCAAAAACAACAATTGACATTCTTAAGAGGATATATTATTTTTTGAATCTGAATCTATGCCTTGATTTTTTTCAGGAACTTACGTAAGGGTTTCATCACTATAGTGGTAAAATATAAAGACGATTGGTGAAGCTTTTCTCGACTGAATTATTTCACATTTGCACAATTCTTAAAATATTTTGTCTCTGTAATGGCACATCTATTTACATTTTTCTATCGCAAATTCTACCGCAGAGTATATATAGTCAAGGATTACGGACTGACATGACTTGTGTAAACGCGCTCATCAGTAGTTTGTTTATGTTATTAGAGAATCTTCTCAGTTTACAGACATACGGTGTGTTATTGCGCCATACATGCATACGTATGTAGCCGGCTTGGGTCTAATTCTATCATTTGGGATCCTCATGAAAAAAATACTGTTATAATTATTAATACAAAGATCGAACACTCAGAAAAAATTCCTTCGATCCGGTCGGATTCGAACCGACGTCTTCTTGCATACCGTGACAGACGCTATACCAACTAAGCCACGGAACGAACCAACGGACCTCACGAATTAGTTGGTGCACGTTTGTACTAATCGAGTACCTAATAAGTTAAAATGTAGTCATGTCGCTATTGTAAGTTTCTTTCTGTATTTTTAGTTCTCTTTTTTGGTATCTCTAATCAATGTACCTGTTTGGGAAACTGTTAGTGCAGAGTTATGGAAAATAAATAAATAAATTACTTTGATGACATATTAAAATGGAATATGTCCATAGAGACATGTTTATTTTCTTAATGAAAAGTGAGTCAGTGTTTGGAATCATAAATGTTTCGAATGCAGTGACAAACTACAAATGACATCTGGATAACAACAAATATACTGAGCTCGACGGTGTCGACTGCGCGCAGTCAGTTGTGCGTCTGGTAGCAGCCTTAATTATGGTGTTTCTGCGTCAAGTCATTAATTTTTTTGTTTTTTTTTTATATCATCAAGTGACGGGACGAACAAGTCGTGCGCCTGATGGTAAGCTACACGCCTGTCCATAACAGTTACAGTGCCACTCAGAGCATTAATTTGCAAAGATCTGAGGGGCCACTAGCACTGCGCCCGTCACCCTTACACATAAGTTGACAAGTCCCATGTGCCTGTAATTTCACCAGCACCTTTACCCTTAAAGATAAAGATAAAGATCATTTATTTGTGGTAGTAGGTACAGTGTGATAAAAAATAATACATGTAAGATCCACTACAACCAGTTTCGCCGAAACATACAAATATAATATAATGGTGGTGGTCGCATAATATTCAGACACGTATTAAAAAAAAAAATCACAAAAATATTAAAAATAAAAAGAATAAAAATGTAGAGATATCATAATAAAATAGTCAAAATTAATGTCAAAATATAAGGCTAAAAATTTACATGTCAAAATGCGAATGTCAAACTTATATACTCTACATTCCCATGTCTCCCTAGGTCACCATAATTATATGGTCCGCATGTCAAAAATTTATAAAAAACAAAATTCAATAAGTCCGTTAGAATTAATAAAAACTTTCACAAATTAAACTTAAATCCACGTCGAATTCATAAACTCTTCTATATTATAAAAACATTTGTCAATCAAATACTGCTTACATTTTTTTTAAAAGATTCTGAATGCAGTTCTCTGGTGGATTTGGGTACTTTGTTATACAATCTTGGCAGCATACAGAGCACACTTCAAAACCGGAACACAGTAATGCTAACATTATTGCTTGGCGGCAGAAATAGGTACGGTGGCAGTACTATCCTGGACGAGCTCTTTCACAAGGTGCTCTACTGCTTCGAAAAATCGTTGACAACTTTTTTATTTCCTAAAATATGAGTTCACTCTTGCCTGAAATCAAGATGAGGTCACCCTTGCTTTTTGTTTTACACATATCATAGACTACTATAATAACTCAAGAGGACTGCTAATTAGTAACTTTCAGGTAAGTTTTTTGTACTCAATCTTGGTGACAATTTTTATTATTTAATTCCTCGAATATATCATCGTGAAATATTAAAGAATATTTCAGGTTACCACACTCGAATATTAAATAATACTTCACGACGATTTTCTATAAATATTAAAAATAAAAAGAAATTGGCTACAAAAATTCAGTACAAAAAATTTACTTGAAAATAACCCTAATCTCGATACTACAGATCGTAACTCTGAAAAAGGTCAAAATTCCATTAGACATCTAGTTGACGCTGATCGATAGCCTGGAAGTAGTTTATAATATAAAACTGGCCGTAGGTATCAATTAATGTTTAACATGAAATATATGTACTCAGTTTTTTCCTTGTAATATTTATTCAAATATAATAATAATAATAATAAGAGAGTCTAAAATAGATATAATAATAATAACGCACACACTCAACATAGCCCCGCACTAGGGAAATCCTGTGTTGCGAGTGCTATGGACACAAACATAGACAACCACAAATTACACCCAACCTCAGGAGAGCAATAAATGTAGACCATACAAATATTTCTCTCGGCCCGGGAATTGATTCTGGGACTTATGCGTGGCAGTCCGGCATGGTAACCGTTGGGCCACGGAGGCAGTTAATACATATATTAGTATTAACCATAACCTAAAATTATTTTCTGAACTTTGACTTTGAATAGATTGCATTGTGTATTATAAGCTAATGTATAAATTAACGCCTGCTTATATTCTAGGTAGATACTAAACACTTACACACTACACACTTTAAAAGAATAGCCGGCGGTATCCATGAAAGTCTGTGCAATAAGTGCCATCTCTCATCAAGAAGCTTTGATAAATTGGACGTAGTTAAACGAAAAGGATCCCATCCACAAAATTATCGAAAAATGAGTTATATGTACCCAACGGTTCCTAAGTCTAATCTCTCAGATCAGCATAGTGTATCGATTTTATATTTTTTTTTATTTGATTTTTTTATTGATTGTATATCGATTTACAGTGTCTTTATTATTATTATTGTACAGTGTCTTTATTTATTTTCGTACATGAATAATACGTATCTATTATTTTTCTCATAAACTATGTGACAAATATAACACCGTAACTTACCAATAAATATTCATCCATGTTTTTGAACGTTACACTAAAAAGCACGAGCGAAAATAACCAGAGAGAAGTTGGCGAAAAATATGTATGTCCTAATACGAATTTTATCCAGTCAGATTTTGGGCGTAAAAAGAACTGCCTGGAAATTGCATGGTTTTTTAAAAGTTCATAATACGCCCCCTGTACCTAGCAGTGGGACGTAAAAATAGGTTGATGATGATATCTTTGTATTGTACATTACGCTTGCCAATTTTTCACCCTCTTTACATTATTTGCTATAAAAACATACGAAATTGAAAATGGCATTGCAACACGAGACGAACTCGACTTCTCAACAACTCCAACTTCTTGTCCCGTTGGAAATAGAACGCGGCTTCCAGACACTTGAGCTGAAACCTTCATTGTGCTGGGACAGTATTCTCTAAATGCACTTTACTTTTATACTTTTATCTATCCACTAACCAAAATGGGTAACGAACAAAGATTTAATACTTGTAGAGAGAGAGAACTTTTAGAGATTCTATACAATTATTGTCAAATGGATTGGTTGTGCGTAATATATAAATCAATTTAACAATTTCGATAAAGCTTTTTACTTTTACAAGTCGAGTGAAAAACAAAGTTTGTAAACATTTTTCCATGTCTTTTTCAAATTATAAGTATGATTACGTAAAAACAGCCAAATATCCAGGCTGGTAGGTACGTCTGAGTAAATATCGCGAGGAAACTTGCACACATCTGCGAAGCAATTTACTGACGCGTGCGAAGTTCCCAAACCCCATTGCACTCACGAGAGAACTACACCTCAAACCCTCTCATTGTGAGTGGAGGCCTGTGCAGTGACTATTAAACTATTGATTATTAGCCTCGGTTGCATTTTTAAAGTGGAGCCATTTGTTACTTTTAATCTAAACAGTATTTTTGTGAATTTTATATATTACTATTATATTATGTTTACGCAAAAAGGCGAATAAGAAAAACTTTTAGTAAAGTACATTTTTTTTGTATTGACTTTTACATCCTTTCTTATCCGAATCAGCGATTTTGTTTCAGTGTATCTATTTTGTAACAATCATACTTTATTTTTAACAAACTTCGGCTGTATGTATATTTTTTTGCATGCACGTTACGCGATCGCTCGACATTTTGATAATTCTTTTTGTTGGAAAGAGATTACCTCAGAATTGGTGCCATTTCAATTTGAAGAAACTATTCCACCTCTAAGAGTGGCAAACTAAGGGACGAATCCAGTTTCGCGCACTGTCCGGTAACCGATCTCAATGAAACTTTGGCAAATAGAAGTATTCCACAAACTTTTGAAGTGGGTTTTTATTAGTACTTTGTAGTGAGATTATTGACATTCATGATTTGATTTATAATGTCTGTTTATTTTAAAGTAATATTAATAATCCCAGAGCAATTGGCTAAGAAAATTGACAATGTGTATATCTTATTCAATCCATCCATCAATGTTTTTACATAATTATGTAGATTTGTTAAGTTACTTAAATACCATATCATTACAATAAAATTTCATAATCGGTCCGCCATATTGGTTTTATAAGTGGAACAAACATTCCTGCTACATTACCTGGTTTTGTAGCACGAATAATTTTTCTCCCCCAGTACTGTAGAGCTAGCACGACAGGGCGCGACTTACATGAGAGCGATATAAAGGCGAGATTTCTATGCGAGAATAGCCAGTATCTCGCGATTTATGTCTAGTGCTAGCCCTGCTGGTAATATAGCTTGTTTATATGTGGGGACAATCCTAAACTTTTTCGCAAAATCGCAGACAATTGAAACAATAGTTTCTGTTTGTGTTTAATGCCAACGAGGTCGCTGGAAATAGCTGGCCAGAAAAGACTTATTAAACCCAATACAAAGATCGGCAACAAGCACAAAGAAATTCGTAAGTTCTGCTGACTCGGTCTGTAGCTCAGTTGTTAAGAGCGGTAGCCCCGGTGTAGCAACAGATGCTGGTTCGAGTCCTGTCAGATCGAAGGAATTTTTCTTTTTTTCTCGACCTTTGTATCAATAATAATAATAAACAAGTGTGGTATTTTCACAATTTTTAACATTACCAAGTAACGTGATGAACAACTCGTACGCCTGATGGATGGTAAGCGACGCCTGTCCACAAGAGTAGGCACTGCACTACGCTCAGAGTTTTAAATCGCAAAGATCTGAGGGGCCTGCCACTGCGCCCGCCCGTGACCCCAAGACATAAGTTGAAAAGTCCCATGTGCCTGTAATTTCACCACCATTACCTTTCAAACGAATCGCAATAATGCGCACATTACTGCTTGACGGCATATATATAGAAATAGGTTACAGGGCAGTACGAACCCTTTCACAAGGAGCTCTACTGCTATGAATATCATGGTAGTAAAAGCATCACGATGTTCAATCAAATAAAAGAAAATAGCAAGATTTTTAAATTTCCTATCGTATTTTGAAGTAGCTCGTTGTCGCATCGCAACGCGTCAGGCTACTTCCTGGCTCGACAGACGGCGGCTCGACAATCGACGCGGGAAAATAGGACAACGTTTCTGTCGCACAAAAGTTGAAACATGCATTGTGTTTGGGACACTTTCCTGTTTTGTTAGATTTACACCATTATATTTATATGTAACAATATTTTTATTATGTTAGAATACGTAATTCTCCATTAACTATAACAAAATTATATCTGAAACAAACATCAAAGAAGCCTTTTGAGTTTCAAAACAGTTTTGTTTGCAAGCGGAGGTTCTAGCTAGCCCCATCCCTTAATTTGTGGACCCTTGTTTTAGAGTGGTTCACAAAGTTTCAGTTTTTTCGTCACTGGATATACTAGATCACAAAAAAAGTGAAATAGAAAATATTAGAGATCGCCCGGGAGAAATTGCTACTTAGCAATAGGCCCGCCTCTTGTACATTAGCTTACTTGCGTTACTGTTCTCTTAGAGACACACCACACTTATTAACGCGGGATCGGCTTGATGCGATCGTGTTTAACCACACTTGTCGCCTCCAAGATGCATGACGTCGATGCGCCTTTCAAGGGGCCGTTCGCGCGCCAAAATATGTGATCTCGAGGTTATTTTCTTGAAATCAATATCTCGAAAACCTAATTAACGTCCTAAGTTCGACGCCGCCGCTGTCGTCGGCTGGGCACGGACGCGATCAAAAATTAGCAAGAAGCAGTTTAGTTGCCGACCTGTGCCGAGTGAGGCAAAAGCACATCTTTTTCGCTCTTACGTCCAAGGAGATAAAGCTTTTTTTGATCGGCTTAATGCGATTCTGCGTTAATAAGTATGGTGATTCCCTTAAACAAGAAAAAGAATATTTTTTTTTTTTTAAATGCGTCACTTGGAATAGAACGTAGTAATATCCGTTATCAATATTTTTATGATTAAATATTTCTATAATGAGTGTTATGCGCTTTAGAAGTCCGTTGTGCATTTCTGTATATACCGAGATAAGAATTGCTGGGTTTCCTCCTTTACATTTCTTTGTTTTACTAATAATTCACATTTGACTATCATTTATTTATGAATTAATGTAATACACAGATTGTAATTCTATACTACCTTACAGTGTACATTATGTGATGGGAAGAATTTGTTGTTCAGCAATAACTCACTTTGATTTGTAATAAAATTTATCTACACAGCTCTGCAAAAATTTACCTAAGTACACTGAATCACTCATTAAGCATATTTTTTGAAACTGTATGCGGCAGGGCACAATATTCCACAAAGTAATTTGACAGCTTGTACAACTCTATCTGTGATCAATCGTACACATTTTACCGTTTTTGATCTGGCGCAGCGACACACATTTTGAGCAAGGTCCACGGGAAAAGTACACAGAACAACGTTATACGCCACATGGCAGATTCGGCACGAGCGAATGTACAGGAAGTGGTTTTACATTATTTTAAATCACTTGCTTTATTTTAAAAAAACTTGGTGATGCGGACGTTCAGTCCGACTAACTGCGTAAGGCGTCAGACCGGTGCTGGTATTGATGATACGTCTATCCAGCTTAATGTTGTTGTTGTGTAATTCACTGTTTTATCAGGGTTGCCAGGGCCCTTGAGTCGAAAATTACATTACCTTACCTGCAAAGTTACATTTTACAAGTTCGTTTTTTTGTAACTACACTCAAGAAAACTAGAAGCTATAACCAAGAATTGATCGATTTCATTAACCGGCTCCAAAAAAAGGGGAGGTTCTCAATTCGACTGTACGTTTTTTTTGTATGCATGTTACGCGATAATTACGGCATTTCTGAACCGATTTTGATGATCATTTTTTGTTACAAAGAGGATATCTCAGAAAGTGTTCCCGTTTCAATTTGAAGAAAATATTCCACCTCTAAGGGTGGCAAACTAGGAGATGAATGACTTTTGAAGTCGGTTTTTTTAGTACTCTGTACTGAGACTATTTTGTTTGAGTCATCTGTGAGTTTCTGTATCGTCTAATTTTGGTGCATTCGTAAATTATTTAAGAACATTAACAAATGTAGTAAGAAATGTAACCATTCTGGCAACACTGGTTTCTACTAATAACTATCCGTCAAACGGCAGTATTGCCATTTAATCCACTGTTTGAAATAGAGGTTTCAACGGCAACACTGAGCAGGAAAGATGAACATCGCCTTACCAGGTAAACCGACTGGTCTGATACATTGGTAGAATTCTACACAAGCCTGTTTACCGTTTGAGGCTTTAAAAATTTAGAAACAAATGGCAACTTCTACACAGAACGAGACAACTGGTTTAAACGGCAACATAGAGCTGGAAAGACAATGCCATTTGGTTGTCTATTACCATAAAAATTTTAATTATGACCTATATACTTCTTCGAGGAAACCCATTAATTAGACAATTATCGATAATACCTATAACTACCGAGATGAAAGAAGGTAAAAGTTTCCAAGACGATTACGTTTAAATTTTCGCCTTAAAATGCCTTTTTTGTGAATAACAAAACGCTGAAAAATGAGTAAACAAGTTTTCGCGATTGTTACACACAGGAAATGAAACTGCTGTCTGGCTGGCAGTTGTAACCAGTTGGTTTGTTTGAAAAAACTACAAATAAATATTTATATGATACTAAATGACGGGACGAAATGGCCGTACTCCTGGTGGTAAGCGACAGTTCAGTCCATAACAGGTGCAATGACATTCAGAGCTTTAGATCGCAAAGGTTTAAGGGGCACTGCCACTGGGCCCATCATCCTTGAACCATAAGTTGGCAAGTCCCATGTGCTTGTAATTTCATAAGCACCCTTAACCCTTCACAACCGAAACAAAGTAATATTCACATTACCTTGGCGGCAGAAATAGGTAAGGTGGCAGTATTTCCTTGGACGAACTCTTTCACAAGGAGCGTTACTACTACTAACTAGTTTCAATGTCTGTTTGAGCAAACAGATCGATTTAACAATTTTTTGATAAATTTGGCTTTAACGTTCTTTTTTCCCCGAAGTACACATCGATAAGTTAATACAGTACAAACATGCCATGCAATAGATAACGTGAAAGCTGCCTACATGAAATTAACACAGTGTTCAAAATGAGTTTATGATGAGTACCTAAGTGGTTAGATTAATTTGCAGTTTTGTAACATTAATTCTCATATGATGGAGCAATTTTGTTGGCTTACTTAATATCTATAGCTCGTGACTATGTGGTATAACTGACGTGACCATACGTCCCGCTTTAAACGGGACAGTCCCGCTTTTAAGCGTACCTCGCTGTCCCCAAAATAATAAAAAAGTCCTTCTTGACAAAAAAAGTCACACGTCACAATAAATTTAAAAGAATGGCGCGAAAGCGAAAAATATACATACAATGCCAACCCACCAGACTACACAAGATTTTTTGTTTTTTAATAAAAATTAAATTTAATCATTTAATCAAATAAAAATTAAAATTAAAACATTCAACATTCGCCATTCACGATCATTTAACAATTTTAGTTCGTTTTTAATTTTTAAAATCATTTTACATTGCGTAACTATCATAAACATGTATTTTTATAAACTTTAATAAATTTACAGGCGTCCCGCTTTGGCCGAAAGCAATAATGGTGACGTTAGGTCTAACATGTTAACTTTTGGTTGCTATATTCAATTATATAGCGTCCGACATCAATTTTACGTATTGTAACGTATTTAAATTCATTTACCTTTCCACACCTTTAAATAAACATAGTACCTAGAAGAACACAAGCTTTGTATGTACATAAGAAAAATTATTTCACAACAACATTTTGACAATTTTTAAGACACCATTTATATACTATAACCTTTACATCGAGTATTTGTTTCGGCTATTTAATATCGCCAGCTCAGAATAGTCGTGACCTTGTGACCAGTAAAGATCCCGAAACATGGATTTGTTTCAAAAAAACAAATATATTTTTTTTATTCCAATGTCTAGCAAGTATACTTAGTATTTAAATCAAAATTACATATACATGGGACTCTTAACGTGATGGTTGCAATGACAGTGCTCCTCAAATATTTGTTATTTAAAGCTCTGAGTGACACTGCAACTGCTACGGCCAGGAGTGTCGTTTAACACCAGGCGCATAAATATACAATAATAAAATCTGCAAATTCATAAAAATCATTCACAAAAGAAATTATTACACGTATAATTTGGAATCAATGTTATGTTACACTGACAATTAACACGCCAAAAAAATTTCTGTATGCAATTTCAAAAAATTAAATTGTACAACCCTAAACACGACGTATAAAAAAGCATTAACACGATAACATTTATGTAAACGTATTTAATTATGGCAGATACTATATTTATTCATAATTTATAATTACGATTCTTTTTTGATAAATTTTAATAGCAACTGGATAACAAGTATATTACACTGAAATAATGATTTAAAATTTGTAAAAACATAAAGTGGTGTTTGCATTGTAAAAATGTATTGTAATAAGATCATTATTCTAGTCAAGTAATTCGTAACAATGTAATGAAAAAATGTTAATAGAAAAAAAAGACTTAACATATATATATATATTTTTATATATAAAAATCTAAATGAGTTACATGAAGTAACTATGATGAAACGTAGTCAGCCAAACTAACAATTCCTTGTGAATCAAAACATGAGTCTTAACAATCTAATTAAATGTAATAAGATTTTTCCAATTGCTTGTTTTGTTACAAGATATAGTGTAATTATGAGAAAGTTTTATTGAAACTTCAAAAATAAATATTTTTGTATAACTGCACGAAAGTTGGTTAAAATCCTCTTAGTTTCACATAAAGTTATAAATTCTTATTGACTTCTTAGGTTATCGCGATTACTATATATTAAAAATGAATTTTCCCTTTTAAATACTAGCTAAATTCTCAAGGCAAAAAGTATAATGACATGCAAAATTCTTTCCAAGTTATGTTTACAATGTAAAGACAACCTAATTAGTGTAACAGTTCTTTTAGTAGCAACATTCTAGCTGTAAACTAGATAATGTAGAAAATATTAAATTAGCAATATTTTAATTCACAGACTACCGGTTCATACCTGCCTGGAAGGTCCAATTAGCATTTAAGATTAAATCAAATGCTTTTTTGATAAATAAAAATGGTAGTGTCGGAAAAGTGAAGAGATTAACCATATCCCGACGAACATCTAGAAAGTAGTTTCATAAAGTACAGTTTTAATGAAGAGATATATCTGGATTGCATGCACCCTGGGTCAGGTATACATAACGTGGCCATTTTATTCACTCAGAGCAGGAAGCCTGTAAATTTATTTTTGTTTTAAAAATAAAACACATGTTAATGATATTTACGTAATGTTTAATGATTAAAAAAAATTTAAAAAACCTAAAATATTTAATGATAAAAAATTTTAAAAAGGAGTCTGGCACTTCACGCCACCGATTGATTCCTGCCAATGCACATGGAGTACGGACGCACATAAAACTAAATAAAAGGTACCGGTGAGAAGGTTTACTTGCTGTTACGCTTTCGTGACATTTTTTGAAGTTTATTATCACGTGTGTCCTGTTTTGTCAAAGCGGGACATTTTTAAGTATTTTGGGGACAGCGGAACACGAAGCTCAGAAGCGGGACACTAGGCTTAGAAGCGGGACACTAAGCTTAGAAGTGGGACTATCCCGCTCAAGGCGGGACCTATGGTCACGTTGCGTATACAGTAATCAACATAAACAATTTAATCTCAACAATTGTTTATTTTCTATAATGCAGCTTTGGTATTAACTCAATATAGTGATTGAACAATGTCATTTTTATGTGTATTTACAGCAATAACAGAAGTGTCTAGAGCATTTAGGGGCACTACCACTGAGCCCGTCACACTGAGACTTAAGTTGACAAGTTCCATGTGCCTGTAATTTCACCAGCACCCTTACCCTTCAAAACCGGAACGCAGTAATGCTGACTTTACTGATTGACAGCAAGAATAGATAAGGTGGCAGTACTACCCAGTACGAACTATTTCACAAGGAGCTCTACTGCTACTGAAAGTAATTGTTTGGTAATTTTACATATTATTTGGTATGCGAATTTATGACATATTCATGTAATTATGAGTTATTAATAATAACATAATAACTTATTATGCTGGACTCATTGACCTACTAACAAATGAACGTCAGGTTCGCGATGGTAAAAAGTGTCCGCACCTGTAGGCTGTAGGGCGTTAAAATTGCATACAGAGCGTCAATCGCGCAACAGTCTTCGTTTGTACGACTGACAGCGCGATTGCCAATCATGCAGTACTATATAATGTAAAAATTACTACAGTCAAGTGTAAAAACAGGATTTTGTATCATATTTTCACTAACCAAATATATTGTATTACCATAGTTATTATTTATAAGTGTTATTTTGTACAATTGTATTGTATTTAATGAATAATTAATTTACGTTAGCTATTTTTACGGACTGTATTTAGTATTCGTCTTCGTTAGTTTCATGTGAAAATCATTATCCTTGTTCATCATACAGAACTCATTTTAAAAATTGTCTTACCTAGACGCCAAAGTTCTTAACTAAACTTATTTCAAGGAACTAACACTGACTAAAAAAGTCATCATCAGTTCTCCAAAGTCGTGTATAACTTTCAGGTTCATGTTCTTTATTGTTATCATGTACTTTTCATGTGTTTTTCCACAGATAATATCAGGCTATTTATATAGTCAAAGTCGACAGTCGCACTTAAACTCGCTTTGAGGTTTTTGTTCAAATATGAATTAAATAAAAATTGGATACGTAGTATTTATTAACTTAATAATGAGTTAAGCAAGATACAATTTCCCCACTTTTCTTTTTTTTAAATTCTAATTTGATGAACATAGTGATTAAGCATGCATGTCGAAGAAGATTCACAACCTTCGGTAAACATACATAGTACCCAACCTTCATTGAGCCAATATAGTGGACCATGGCCCAAACCCTTGCCTGAGAGGAGACCCATGCCCAGCAGTGGGGCATACAAATGGATTGATGATTAATGCGCGTAGAGTTCTTAGGTTTTTGTGATTGTTATACAAAATGAAACTATTTTTTCAGATCAAAATCGTATCCTATGGTCATTCTCAGCCATGACCATGGGCCTAGTAAAGGGCCCCGAAACTTCGTTTGTTTGAAAAAACAAATATATGCAATTTCGATTTCATTAACTATCTATAAAATGTGTATATGTAGTCAGAAGATACAATAGTAACACAAAAGGTACAAATGTGTACAAAAAATATTTTTGTTATGTACCAATTAGAAACCAACTTAAATTTTCATAAATCGATATTTTCCAAAGATCCTTATACTTTCGTTCAGGGAATTTCAAATAATAATAATCTATTCTCTCCCATTCACATTGAGTTTTAAAAATACATACAAGTGAGAACTTAACAGGACACTAGTGTCCAAACTAGGTAGACCCTGTGTCACTGACCTCCGTGCCATTACAAAAGATAGGTATAAAAAAAATTTTGTAGGTACTGAAAAGTTTGTAAAAAATCAAATGCTATCTTATTAGCTCATAGATACAAATCGTGAAATTACTATCTGTATAGACAACACGGTATATAGAGATTTGCCGCGTAATAAATAGTTCCACTTTACGCTTATTTGTTAGTAATTGGCTCAGATTGGTCACAGATTGGCGCTAGAAACCGGTCACGAAGGAAGACAGTTCAACCAAATTTTGACCCAACAATTTACGTGTCAATTGTCATATAATTACGATGAAATAACATCTTTTAAGATAACTATACACGACTAAAAGCTTTAAAATAGTTTATCAAGGTTTTAAACTGTATGGTACTATGCAATTTTTAAAAACAAAATCAAATGGACTTTCTATACAAAGGATTGTCTGACCAAAATTGAGTGAAATGACAAAGTACGAATAATATTACTTACCGTTATTGTGAGCTCCACTAATATTCGTAAAGCTTCATAAATAATATACACAAGATGTTGATGAAATTCACATTAATAACAAAATTGTTTATTCGCGATCTATACGTATTGATATTGACACCCTTTTGATTTGAGCATAGACAAACTAGTAGTTATAGGTCGGAATATTGCAAGATTGCAACATTGCGAATTCTTTCGTATGTGTTGAAGTTTACCATAGAGAATAAATCGGCTAGTGTAGCTCGTGTAGCGGGATAGCGTTTGTAAGTGGGGGGGGAAGCGACTTTTAAAAAACTGATTTCACAACAAAAACGTCAATACAATTTGCAAAATATAATAGACATATGACAAAAAAGGCTGTTTCGGTTCGACCTTGGAAAGGTAAAACGCTTAACGTGCATTTGGAAACTATTACAGGAGAGCGATTCAAAGTATTTTTTTTAAAAAGCCATCACAAATTTTATTTGTTACTTACTATCGAAATGTAATTTTAGACGCAAGGGCCCTGGCAACACTGTTGCGTAATTGTTTTGTTTTTGTTAATGTTAAAATGTTTCGATTGAAGGACTTTGTATCCAGGTCATGCAATAAATAAAAGAAACTATTGCGTAACCTGTTATTAGTGGTTCAATAGAAAATGGTGGCATTAACGCAATGAAATCATATCTGCTACTGTTATAATGCTATTCTTGTTGGTGACTATAATAACCATTAATCAATAAATCTAAACATAATGACTGTTTTTGGCACCAGTTGTATTGAAATTAAAAAATCAAGGGCCTATCTATATCGAATATTAAAATCTGTATAAATTGGAATAATATTAAAATACTTATAGCACAAAATGTGGTATAATTATGGATTCAAAATTGTCATTTAATTTTTACTTAGACCACATATTAAGCTCTGCATTTCGTAGACTGGGATTCATACTTAGAATCAGTAAACCATTTAATAAAACTAGTATCCTTAAAATTTTATATTTCGCTTTCGTCAGGTCTGTTTTGGACTTCGGGAGCGTTGTATGGAATCCATATTTTCAAATTCAAATCAATAGAATAGAAAGGCTCCAAAAAACGCTCGTTAAATCACTTAATTACCGTCGTAACATAAAGAGTGATTCTTACGAGGCATCCCTTAAAGAATATAATTTATTATCTCTTCAAAATAGACGTAAAATGTTTGACTTAGTTTCGCTATACAAAATTTTGAATAATGAAATTGATTCGTCTGCGCTTCTAAGCAGGATACGCTTCATTGCTAATGTGCGCCTTCCTATGCGGTCTTCTCGCAAACGACCACTATTTGTCCTCCCACCATTTACTAAATTATATACACGCAATTCCTTCATTTACCGTTCCACTAACATGTACAATATTTTTTTTTCTAATATTGATTTCTTTGACACCACTCTTCATAAATTAAAAAAAAAAATTGTAAATGACATTTAATGATTTTGTAATCGCTTATTAAACTCTGTCTTATATATTTAATCAATGATATTATACTTTGTTACTCATGCTCACTTAATTTAGAAAGATTAGTTAATGATATTAATGTAAAACTCTAGTAACGCATAAAACAAGAATGTTATCATTACAAATAACAGTATAAGATATATTACAGCCGTTCTTATCTATTTATAAATATTTATAATCTGCTGGCACTATAGGTCTATTTTAAGAGGAATATATGTAAATAATTATTATTTCATGTATGACTGTTTGTTGCCACAAATAAATGAAAAAAAAATCGTAGTCTGTAATAAGTAACTTATTAATAATAATACGATTATTTAGAATTAAGAAGATTATAATTGTATGATTTGCAAATCTAATATCGTCCAATCATTTGATTAGCGCCATTTTTCTATCACTGCCTGTTGACATTGGCATACTTGCTCGTTACTCGTTCGTCGAGAGCCGCGACGCGCAATCGCATAGCAGTATAATAACAGTTTAGACAGTTGTTGGTTATTGAGTTATTTATTTATTGCTAAAGAACATTATTAGTTTTGCTTTTCATTATCTGTTATTGTTTTATTGACCACTTTACGCCATTCTATCCATAGATAACACAATATACTTCTATTTCTATTCTTAAACCGCCATCCGTCAGTTATGTACGTAGTTGTCTATGATTTTGATTCTTGACTTGATCCGTCATTCGATTGTACAAGTTGTGCAGATTACAGATGTTCTGTGACGTTAATATCATTTTTCAATTATCTGTTGTGAACAATAAATGGCGTAGTCTTCTTATCAGTGTACGTGCTTTTCTCGTTACAAGTCATATTTGACTGGTATAGAGTGCAATTTAGTGTTGTTAAAGATGGGTGAACCGTCGAAAACCTTTGAAGGAAATACGGGGCCTAATTTATCTAATGCGGCAATTACGCCAGGTTTGGGTGAGGGACATTCTTTTAGAAATGCTATTCCGTCGACATCTACTGGAATAGGAGTGTTAGGACCTCCTGCTTTACCCCCCAGACCAGAATTAAATACGTCTGGTTACAATAGCTACGGAATGAATTCTGGGTATGGCGTAGGGGGATTCGGTAGTATGGGAGGATACGGAGGAGTTGGTGGTTACGGGTCGTATGGAGGATACGGGGGAATGGGCTATGGCGGTATGGGATACGGAATGGGGATGGGCGGAATGGGTGGATACGGATCCTATGGCGGTTTTAACAGATTCGGAGGTCCGATGTATGGAGGAGATATCGAAAGCAGGTAAGACTTATCGTTACGTCTAGGTTTATCATTATGGTACTTCGAAATAATGCGACCATTTTTTACTATAACAACAATTTTAAATAGAGTATAGTCTGTATTAAAGTTTTCTGTGATATCAAGCTATGGGACGAAATCATGCGCCCGATACTACAGCTAGACCAAAACCAATTCAGAGAAGTTCCTTTCCAAAATTGGTCCTTCCAGATATTGAACTCTGGACCTTCTCATACATAGCCTAGATTGTGAACCATGTAACTGAGGCACACATGGTCATTATTTTTGTTATGTTAGCATGTAATTGTCAATTATCAAGTGATGCAATGAACAAGTCTGGTATGCATGGTAATCTAGTATGGTAAGCCCCGCTTTGAATGGGACAGTTCCGCTTTTAAGCATCGCCTCCCATTGTCCCCAAAATACTTTAAAATGTCCCAGTTTCCAAAAATAGGACATAGTTGTCTATGCACCAGAGCACACAGGATTCGCTTTTTTTTTTTTTTAATTTTTGATCATTAAACATTTTTAGTTCTTTTTCACACTTTTTAATCATTTAATTTTTAAAAAGATGTGTTTTATTTTTAAAACAATAATAAAATTACCAGTGTCCCACTATGAGGAAAAAATAATAGTCACATTAGGTGTGTATCACGCTTATTCGTAGTAGTTGTAGTGCACTCAGAGCTTTAAATTACAAAGACCTGAAGGCCACTGCCACTGTGCCCACGCTGTCACACTGAAACAAATTTGATAAACCCCATGTTCCTCTAGTTTCACCAGCAATCCCAAAAAACTGGAATGCAATAATACTCTTAATGTTGTTGGGCAGCAGAAATAGATATATTGCAGTACTTCCCTGGATAAATTCTATCACAAGGACTCTACTGCTGTTTAAAATTACTATACATGCTTATTATTCAGATTTTTTGTGAAATAACTCCACTAGTTTTGTTATGATTATTATTACAAAGATCGATTGTATTTTTTAAATTGTGCAGACTGCACAATTTTTTTTAAATTTATTTATATACAACAAAAAATCTCAATATATTTGATCAAAAAGCTACATATACATCAATTGAGGCATCTGTAAAGATACCGGCTGCGGTGAGGTTGTTAAAAAATGTCTTACCAACCCCCGTAGCTTGGCTACACATGATAGGCGCGACCCACGCGATAAAATTGGAATAAGCGCGCGCTATTGGCTGTCTCAATAAGATCTTATTTAGATATAGATAGAATTAGAGATAGATGCACATGCATGGCCATACTACAGAGGCTGATGTCATTAGCGGCGCTGAAAGCCGAAAGCCATACAAAGATCTATAACAAAAACACATGGGACAATTTCAACAGCTTGTTAACTTGACCTGTGGCTCAGTTGGTAAGAGCAATGCTACAGTTGCAGCATGGCCATGGTTTCATGTACCACCAGGTCGAAGAAAAAATGTTTCTATGTGTTCAATCATATACATACTTCCAACTACACAGTACTTCCTAGGAGTTCCTATTGTCATGTTGATAGTTGCTTGACCTTGTAATGGTCCACCTGTTTCTGACTATAAATCCTCTGATCCCTTTTTTTATGATATCAAGTGACGGGACGAACAAGTTGTGCGCCTGATGGTAAACTACACGCCTGTCCATAACAGTTGCAATGCCACTCAGAGCTTTAAATCGCAAAGATCTTAGGGTTACTTATCAGTAGTCCGAAATGACATTTTCCAGAAATAACGTTTGGTCGAAATTTCATAACCCTGAAAGTAATTTTGAGAGGAAAATGCTTTTTCTTTTAAACCTAACTTAACCTAACCGAACCTAATCGTGTCTTTGCAATAAACATTCAACATATCCTGAATTTCAACTTATTCGTTATAATTCGGTTTTCGGTGTAATGAAAATTCGAACAAACGTTATTTCGGACAAAAAAATTTTCGACTTTGTGATAGGTTACCAGATCTGAAGTGCACTGCCACTACGCCCATCACCCTGAGACGTAAGTTGACAAGTCCCATGTGCCTGTAATTTCACCATAACCCACCCTTCAAAACTGGAACACAATAATGCTGACATTATTGCTTGGCGGCAGAAATAGGTAAGGTTGCAGTACCACCCTGGATGAACTCTTTCACAAGGAGCTTTACAGCTACTAAAAAATCCTCTAATGTGTGTACATATAAACTCCGACAGCCTTTTCTTTGCCGCCCTATATTGCCTCTCTTGTAGTAGGTACCTTCTGTAAAACAGTTCTCTTCAACTGTAATTCTAGTGAATAACTTGATACTTTATCCTCAGACCGTCATGACTACCAGTAGGTCTAGCACGACAGCGCGCGATGTCGCGCGAGAGCGACATAAAGCGCGAGATACTCGGGAAAGAAGTATATCGCGGTTTATGTCGCTCTCGCGTAAGTCGCGACCTGTTGTGATAAATGAATCGTAGTTAGCTATAAACACATGTAATGCAGTACCAATTCTTATAACCCAAGTTGATATCTTGATATCTTATCTTGAGACCTTTGACATTATTGAGCTAGTTTCTTAGTTTATCATGACTGATTAAGTTTTTTAAACATAATAGTATGTTAACTCCATAAGTTGGTTAAACCTTTTTGGTTACACTTTAATAAATATTATGCAAAATAATAACGATGTATGGAATGTTGTAGCTGGTTTTCGCTACTCGACGTGCAATCATAACTCACTTATCAAACTAATACTAAATAGATGCCATAATAATGACAGAGGGGCATTATTATATGTTTATATTTTATGTAAACAGTAACTTAATGTGAATAGCTGATAATATAAGTACGCTTTTGGTGGGCTCATGTTATCTTTTTATCTGTATACAAATGCAATTGCTTGGTGAACACCATTTATTGCCACATTTTGTCTTACAATTCTCATATTTTAGTAGCAGTAAAATGCCTTGTAAAATCGTTTGTCATTGAAGTACTGCCATCTTACTTCTTTTTGCCGCCAAGCAGTAATGTCAGCATTACTGTGTTCCGGTTTTGAAGGGTAAGGGTGCTGGTGAAATTACAGGCACACGGGACTTGTCAACTTATGTCTCAGGGTGACGGGCGCGGTAGTACTGTCCCGCAGATCTTTGCGATTTAAAGCTCTCAGTGGCACTTCAACTGCTATGGACAGGCGTGTCGCTTACCACCAGGTGCACGACTTGTTCTCTCATTCGTTCCATCGCTTATAATAATAACCCACACACTCATAGCCCCGCACTAGGAAAACCCTTTATCGCGAGTGCTATGGACGCACACAGACAACCATTACAACCAAACTTACGAGAAAAGTAAGTATACGCCATACAAATATTTGTCCCAGTTCGGCAATCGAACCCGAGACTTCTACGTGGCACTCCAGGATGGTAACCATTCGGCCACGGAGGCAGGTATCATAATTATATACATTGTATCATAAAAAAATACCCATTGCGCTTGCATTAATTATATAATAGATAGATCTGTTTAATTGTTTACATTGTGGCGCCGCACAAACGTGTTTCTTGTGTTGCGCATCGCCTAAAAGATAAAATTAAGTACCCCATTTACTGAGATAATGGTGATATGGAACAAATTGACAGTGAGTATAGATTGTTTTCGCATTTTATGAATTTTCAATGGCAACGAAATTATTTATGGTTTTAACTTTGTCTTTAGTACGAGGCTAGTGGTGGAACATACACTTGACACTTAGGCTCAATTTACATTGCGGAAAGGAGTGGAAGCAAATTTTATAACGACATTACACAAGGCATAATGAACTTTATGTTAATTGTGTAACAATCTTCCGAATAGTTCTCGCGCGTGCACGGGAATGCCCATAAATAAGTTCTCGGAAATGCTCGCATATTCACAGAAGTGCTTGCTCAGTGCGACATCAAGCGTCTACGAATGATATACGTCATGGATTCAGTTGAAAGATGATCTGTTTGGTGCAAAAATATGATTTTTCGTATAATCTATAAGCTAGGAACTACAGCGACAAAAATTTCAAGAATTATGCATGGGGAAAAGTCATAAAAAATAGGTGGATAAGATATAAATCTTTGAAAATGTTTTATACTGCCCAAAACTTTTGATAAATCATGAAGCCAAATATCTTTTTTCCTTTTTCTCTTCTTCTGTTTCACGAAATAAAATAAATATCCAGAACCATCGTTCTTGTCACGTAAAAGATCTAGACTGAACACCTACTACAAACTCAACGCGCAGTCGCGAGAATGTTCAAGTATTTTAGCACATGCTCGAGCATTCCCGCAAATGCGTGCGTCTTCTCGCACAGCGAGGCATGATACGCTTCCGTTCCGCCGCAATTAAAATTGCGCTTATGGGCCTAACCTTATTTATCTGCACGCTTCAGAACTTCAAAACAAATTGACAGTGTGCTTAAAGCTGAAGCAAACCCTTGTTTGATACTTTAGAAGTGTGTAAATTATCACTAGACATGAAACGGGTATCTGGGAGCTATCCATATATTTTTTCAGTATATAAGAACATTGCCGTATACTTTATAATTACGCCAAATAAATTGCTTTGTTGATTAAAGAGGATAGTAACAAAGTAAATAGAAACTACACAATCATTGTCAATTATGTTTATTACTTGTAGTTATAAGGAATTATGAGGTTAGAAAACGTGAGCTTATGATATAAGAACAAAAATTGAACCTAAGGCAAATTATATGATGGATGAAGATCAGTTTTTTTTTTCTACATTAAGTGATACATTTTCATATTCGAAACCAGCTTTAGAGAACAAATAGAACTTTCGTAATAAATCCTTTTCTATAAGTATATTGCAGCGAAGTGCGGCGGCAATTGAAAGCTTAGTTTTTCACATTTTCATACGTGAAAATAATAAACACATAACAGAAAAAAAGAACTTTAAGTTACTTTTAACTGTATATTGACAAATTGAAAAAAGACATGTAGTAAAAAACATGCAGTTGCTACTCAATACTCAATGCATTTATTGCATTCATATGGAACGTACATGTCATTGCATTCATATGGTACATACATGTCGTTACCTTCGTATGGTACATACATGTTATACATGCCAAGAAACCAATTATCAAGAAGGAGTTTTATTTTCAACATATGTATGGTCTTTGATGTTGCCATAAGGAGCTGGGAGTTAAACTCTCGTATCAAAACGCACCCTTCATGGAAGTAAAGTTTATTGCTCCATTGATTAATAATATCGATTAATATTGTCGATAGAGTTACAAGAATTGGGGAGGATGTAGGTTATATTTTTCTGTATCCAATCGAGCAATGAACATTTCTGACATAATTTCACTTATGCCATTCTTCCATGAGGGGTGCGAAGGTCATGATCAAAATTTATTTATAATGTCTTCAATCAATAATCGATTAATACGTTCGCAGCAAATAACTAGATATCTGGCCATCCGGCCCTGATGCTCGCCGGATATCCGGTATCCACCCAAATCACTCTTTTTCGTTTAATTTTTAATTATCATATATTACGTAATGGTACTATTTCTAGGTTCATTCAAATGGCAGAGGAAAATTCGAGGCCAGCGTTTGACTCAATACAGAGTCTTGTGAATGCTGTTGGCGGTGTCGCTATGATGCTGGAGAATACCTTCTTTGCTCTCACAAGCTCATTTAGAGCTATTCTAGGTAAGTGCTACACTTTTTAACTCTTAACAGATTGCTAGGTTCGGTATCTGGAGGTAGTAGTCGCGCAGCGACTGCGTGCGTCTAACTGTCACGGCAAAATACGCTCTATTTGCTTAGCTTTTACGTTTTAACTTAAATGAGCGTCTCGGGCACGCGGGCGAACCTGGCTTGAACTTGGTCTACTCGGCGGTCCGCGCGGTTGAATTATTCAGAGGAATTAAATGCTTTTGCCTAGTAAATAGAATACAGATTCGCTATTAATGTACATGAATGCGTAGTAACTGGACGGTCGCCGCGCGAAAACTTTCGCCTCATGTAACTGGGCGCTTACTATTTTGACATTTGATTTGATTTTATGGACAACAGCATGTTCTCTACACTTAAGATTTTAAATCAACTGTATGCTACTTCAATAGTGGCAGGTTTACACAAATTAAGTGCAATGTGGTAAGTAAAGGTACATACATATCGTGGTACATGACGATTGATGTACCATCTTTGAACACGTTAAACTCGCCAAGCAATGTACTTCTACCTATCACTTCACTCGTGTAAACGGGGCATTAGACAGTCCAAATTCCATAATATAAACTCCAGTAGGACTAACACGACAAGGCGCGATTTGAGCGAGAGTGATATAACGGAGTTACCACACTTATTAACGCGGAATCGGCTTGAAACGGTCAGAAAAATCTCTATGTCCATGTCATAAAGCCGTTACGTGTCTTTATCGCACTTATTACTTTTTTTTATAATATCAACTGACGGGACGAACAAGTCATGCGCGTGCTGGTAAGCTACACGCCTGTTCGTAACAGTTATAGTGCCACTCAACTCTTTAAATCGCAAAGGTCTGAGGCGCACTGCCATTGCGCCCGTCGCCATGAGACATAAATTGACAAGTCTCATGTGCCTGTAATTTCGCACAGGTCATAGTGCCCCTCCCGCATATCCAAGAGGTTGATAGGGAGGGTCACTATAAACAAAACTTATGTAGAATGATATGGGACTGGCCGGCTGAATGCGATACAATGTCCCCCTAAAGCGCGAGATACTGCTATATTCTTGTGCTTCTATGTCGCTCTCGCGCAAGTCGCGCCCTGCCGTGCTAGCCTTAGGGCGTGTATAAGTACGGTCAGGCGTAATAAGTAAATAAAAAAAGGCGTAAATAAGTACTAGCTTTAGAGCTAGCTCTTGACCGTACTTATTTATTTCTTCTCTGTACGCTTTTATCAACTTCTCAAATTAATTAATAAGTGACATTTTTTGCTGGTAATATCCATCTATGAAACAGGTTGATTGTATTATCAGAAACAAATTGTTTTATTTAATCGTCAGGTGTAGCAGAAAACTTTGGACGTTTAAGGACTTTGTTTGCCCAGTTCTGGTCGACATTCGCTGTAGTGCGTAGCCTCAACTGGCTTATAAGAAAACTTATGGTTATGCTTGGCATAAGGACCGAAAGTGAATTCAAGGTGAGTAAATTTTGCACTTGACAAATTCGACGTTTCCCCCAAATACCGTAAAGGCAAATGATCCTGATAAAAGATATCTTTTTTTTTTAAATCTTTATTTATTTAAGAACTTTTGTACAATGTATATGCCAGTTCCATCGTATCCTGAACTATAGCTTACATGTCTGGGTGGCGCTGTTGGAGAGCCAATTCAACAAATAGTAACAATATTTTTACCTGTTTCGTGTGGGGGATATTAGTATACAATTTATAGCACCTACTAAAGTTCGGTAGATCTGCAGGTCTCTCATCAACGCCGTCCTATGTTGCTCGTACCGGACACATTACAGTAATAAGTGATATGCAATCTGCCACTACTCCACATAACTCGCAATTAGGCGATTATCACACAGCACCGCGCCCCGCGACGGATCGCGGAACTGCGTTTTTTACCATTGTACTAAAGTACCTGAGTTTGTGTGAAAAACACGCGCCGTCGAACACACTAACAACGCTACTCCGCGCGGAGGGGCGTGGCGAACCGCAGGGTATGGCACACTACGCTCCGCACTACCGCGTAGATTTTTAAGCTTAAGGACATGTTCAGTTTTCTACAATAGATGTCGACGTCGATAAATTTATATTTGCTATTGAAAATCGACTAAATTTATCTTCATATTTTCTTAAATCTTTGCAATGAAGTTGAAATTATCCATTTATCGATTTTCTTCGTAAAAAGGGATGTATCCAATATATTCGGCGTCTTTTTATTTGAGTAAACAAAAACCAAATAGACCGTATAAACTGCAGCGTCCTGAATGAGTTCTGTATTATTAATCGTTCTTGTCAAAAAAGGATCTCGGCTACATATACAATCACTACGGTGATCAACTTCGAAGCGAGTACTTTAAGTGACGCGGGGCCGCTAGAAACGCAGATCTGCGTCTCCGCCACCGCGCGCGTGTGTCCGCGTCCCACGCTCCGTCGCGGGACGCGGTGCAGTGTGATAATCACCTTAGGAGAATTGTTTTCTTTTTTTTGTTTTCATTAAGAAAACAAAACTGTTTAATGGAACGTGTCCAGTTCTCGTCCTTAATGCGATGACAACTATTTTCCTACCATAGTCGCACTTTGCAAACCTAAGAGATCATTCGATATAAAGAGAAAACCACGATGAAAAAGCAAGCTTGTTTTGAACAAGTGTCTGTTCAGTAATCTAATTCAAATTCTGATGTTGAAATACTAAATTGTTTCAAAGTGTCCATAGGCAATAAAACAATAAACCAAGAAATAAAAAAAGTAAATAAGAAGATTTATGTGTTGTTTTATAAATGCGCTAAACAAACTAAGATATAATACTAATAATGTGTCAGATAACCACATCAATGTCCTGGTCTGAGACTATGCAATTCCTTACTAAGAGTACCAGAATAACTAGAAAATTCAAGTAAGAAGTAATTAGAAAAGTCCTCTTTTCAAACTGGTCCTAATCGAAACCGGGATATCTTCACCCAGTGCCCGCAGCGCGAACCGTTGGACCGCCATAATCTCGTTAACCAAAATAATAGTAAATACGTTTATTTCTATGGCGTACATATCCGCGTACATTGCGCGCAAACGTGTGTCTTGTATTGGATACACAGACATATATCTAGATAGACGCCTCAAGTGTACGTACTTCGCGTGCCCAAAGTAAGTGAAATTCAGTTACTTGCCTCTGCTACAGTTCAGAACGCGCTCGACCGTTACCGTAGATAAACACCAGTCGAAAAGTGTGTGCAAAAGCACCATAACTGTGGGTAAACGGGTAAACAGGGATGTTTCCTTCCACGGGAAAGTGATTTTGTAGCATGAGCATTGCTGAGGTTCTGTTTTGAAGGGTAAGGATGCTGGTGAAATTACAATCACATGGGACTTTTCAACTTATGTCTCAGGGTGAAGTGGAAGCGCCCCTCAGATCTTTGCGATTTAAAGATTTCAGCGGCACTGCAACTGTTATGCACAGGTGTGTTGCTTACCACCAGGCGCTCAACTTGTTTGTCCCCTCACTTGGTGTAATAAAAAAACCTTTCAATCGTATTATTAAGACAGAATACAATTTAGTAAACAGATAATTTACATTGTTGATGTGATTCTTGGCTTGTTTACATTTTAAAATAAAGGTTGTTCACCTTTGCGCATTGTATAGCATGAGTACAATATGGCGGAAATACATTATTTTATATTGTTTTAAAGACCTCTGCTCTTTGGGAAAAAAAGGACTTCAATTTGTTTTATGTCCTATGTGTTTTGCGTAGTACTACCTCTGCAGTTTATATCACTTCTCTGGTAGGTACTAGTAAGTTCAAGAAAAAATCAAACTATTAATAGCTTTGGAGGAATATAGAAGAGTTGAGTTTAACAATTATACTGAACATTCTCATACCACTAGATCTGTTAGCAATCAAAAATATATTGTATCTAAAACTATAGATGATGCATGTCCAGTTTCGTGAACTGTTTGATTACAAGGCTTTACTTGTAGTTCAATTTTTTTTTTATAATACCAAGTGATGGAACGAATAAGTCTTGCGCCTGTTAGCAAGCGACACGCCTATCAATAACAGTTGCCACACAGACAGTGACACACAGAGCTTTAAATCGCAAAGATCTTAGGGGCACTGCCACTGCGTCCGTCACCCTGAGACATAAGTTGACAAGTCCTATGTGCCTGTAATTTCACCAGCACCCTTACTTACCCTTCAAAACCCGAACACAGTAATGCTAACCTTACTGCTTGGCGGCAGAAATAGGTAATGTGGCAGTACTTCCCTGGATGAACTCTTTCACAACGAGCTCTACTGCTTACAAGATAATTCAAGTAAGGCACTTCAACTCTGCAGGAAATGTTATACGGTGATAAGTCAATATCAAAGCGATAAAAAATAAATATCTTGCTTAAAATTATCAATAACATGCACAAGTGCCACTGTAACTTCAGTTAGGCAAGTTTATCTTATAATAAACCTTTTTATCACTTGCTTATCGCCAAATCTGCGTAAGCATCTTTTGAACTCGGACTTTATTATATCGCATCGGACATTATTACAGCGGCACATTTTTAATTTTGGACTTTAGTCGTGCAATAAGGGTTATTCCTAAAATACTAACAACCTCACAGGAGTATAGTATAATAAAATAAGTAAGGTAACTCCACACAAACGTAGCAGCATGGCGTGTACGGACGTACTCATTCGCATAACCTCACGATGCACTTGCTTTGTATGTAACACTGCTCGTCCCAACGCGCCTTTCATTATTGTGCGCAACACTTAGAAATGAAATCGTATACGAATGACATGCATATATAATGGAATTTTGGAAGTTATACTATGTTAGTTGTCATGTGCGATATTATGTACATTTTATTGTACACGGGGCTTTAGAAAGCTAAATCATAGGTTTCCAAACTTTTTGGCAAGATAAAAAAATATTAACGCCCCCCACCACAAAAAATAATTGAAAACACCTTTTTTTATATTAATTTAACACAAAAAAATCACAAGGAAAAAAAATGTAGTGTAGTTGATGTAGATAATTTTAATTATCTATATATTAAATTAATTTAGCTATTTTTCTTGAAATGCGGTAGCATCCCTGGTCCGCAACAACGCCTCCCTAGGACCCTTCAGCGCCCACTGGGGGGCGGTAGGGACCCCTTTGGGAAACTACGAGCTAAAATAATGGAAGCTATTCCTAAAAATTTATTGTTTCTAGGCATGGGCCGAAGCAGTAGCCGCTACACAATCCGGCACCGGCACACCAGAGCAGAAGGCCAAGGGCTCCACGTGGCCAATCCTGCTCTTCTTCGGCGTGATTGCTGCAGCGCCTTATATCGTGCTCCGGATGCTTAAAGGATTAACCAGCAGTATAGACGAAAAACGTTAGTATGACTAAAAATATTAATAAGATATGTATGTAGGTGAGAGGTAATGAACCTTACGTAAATTACTATTTGAATTTTTACTACAGAGCGTTTTAAAGAGAATGAGGCTCTTAATTAGGCGTTTAAGTCGTAACTTGAAGGCGCCCTTAGATTGCCTTCAAGTTACGACTCTTCTAGAAGCACCGCAATGGCGCTGCAGCCGCAGACTAGATATTATCGTCGGTTGTGTTGTAAGCGACATAGAAAAAAGTTTCAAGCAGCATGTTTTATTTTTTAACGATTGTTTTCAAATATTTATTTCCTTTTTTCAAATTCGATCTTGGTTTTAATTTAGTTTAATGTAATCTCTTTTACCGTTGCGTGATTTTTGGCATTCTAAAGCTAATTTTTTTAAAACTTGTAGGCTTAAGGTGCTTACTCAACACATATTTATTTCTTTAAAGCTTACATATTTATTTTAACTGCCTCCGTGGCCGAACGGTTACCATGCCGGACTGCCACGCAGAGGTCCCAGGTTCGATTCCCGGGCCGGGAGAAATATTTGTATGGCCTACATTTATTTCTCTCGTGAGTTTGGGTGTAATTTGTGGTTGTCTATATGTGTGTCCATGGCACCCGCGACACAGGGTTTCCCTAGTGCGGGGCTATGTTGAGTGTGTGCGTTATTATTATTATTATTATTATTATTATTATTTATTTAAAAATTAGAAAAAGCGGAGTCGTTTGCTGATTTCCAATATTTATTTCTTTGAATATCTTAATGTTCTACCACCATGATTAATATTATATTTTTTTGTGAAAATACTCCACTGGTTTGTTATTATATTATTATTGATAGAAAGATCGAACAAACAAAGTAAAATTCCTTCAATTCGACTGGACTCGAATTAGCGTCTGTTTGTCAAACCGGGGCTACCGCTCTCACCAAAGCTTGGCTTAGAGACAAAAATTATTACAAAGTGACTGACTTTTATATAAATCTTGACATTAATTTAGTGTTTAATGTGTATGTATGTACAATGTAAAATTGATGTATAATATTTAATAGTTTGACAATGATAGTTATTATTTTGTTGTTATTAATTGATTGATTGTTCATTGTGCATGTCCAATGACAGTGTTATAATAAGTTAAATTTTGCTTGCCTAGTCAGGTAAAATGTGTGTTCTATTATTGTATATTATTACATCTTTCGTTCACCATGTTTTAAACAAATAAAATTTCATTTCATTTCCAACGAGTCGATGGTTTCTAATCATTATTAGAATGCTGTCATTCTGTTAAATCGAGAACATGTTTATTTACAGTCAACGACCCGACGACCTGGCAGAATCCACTCCGTGCGGTCGCACAATACGATTTCCAAGCTTCAAACCCGCAGGAGCTCAACTTCTCCGCCAGCCAGGTCCTCACACTGGCCCCTCAACACGTCCAGGGCACTCTGTGGAATTCAGGATGGCTCATGGCATCGACGGACCGAAAACGAGCTGGTTTAGTACCAGTCAATTATATTAAAGTTATAAAACCTAATAACGGCGGTCATGAACAAAGTATAAACCAGAAAGAAAATAAAATCGAGCAACCGGCAACCAATATGGCCGATTTGGATAAATACTATACACAGGAACTGTAAACATTTAGTCTAAAATATATGTTTAAGCAATGTGATACTTCCTTAAATAGCCCACACTTAATATTTTTTATAATATTGAATTCCTCAATACAACTCTAAAGAGAACTAGTGGGAACCAATGATTGTGGGCTTAAAGCGGAAACACAGAGTGGGTGCGGGTCAAGCCCGTCTAGCGCCCGCGCTAAGTGTGTTGTCGTCTATATAAATACACGGACTTAGACACGCCGCACTCCCGACCCTACCCGCGGACGACCCGACCCGAGCCTGACCCGCAGCCGACCCGACCCGAGCCCGACCCGAGCCCGACCCGCATCCGCTCTCTATATGTATCACGCTTTAGGCCCAGCGCAAGCCTTCGCACGGGAAGGCATTGGATATTAAATTTGTATATTTTGTGCTATTACGAAATGAACTATAAATTTCAATGCTCTGAGGTTGACCGGCCTTGGAATATCGCAGCACATTTCTTTTTGCGTATTGAAAAGAGCACGCTAGATGATACCCCGACGCAGTCGTCGTATTCGTGTCTATAGTATTTTGTAAAACACGGAAGCGTTTCTGCTGACCACAATATAATATTATTATTCTAAGGCACATTTTTTCATTACTGCCAGAATATAAACGATCAATTTGAACCACAGGGAAAACACCCTATCTAGCTGTGATCAAGACGGGAATTATCACACGTAGTACATCTCAATTTCATTTATTTGAGAAATGATATAAACAAACTATATTTGGGGTTCTGGTAACGTAAGCATATTTAAAATATGTCGCAACTCTCCTCACTAACTGTCGTATCTAACCTTTTTGTCGTAACTGGTGGATTTGCCATTTCATTAATTATTAGTACCTTTTTTTATATACTAGGCGGAATTTCGATTCCCTACTTTGATAGGGAATCGAAATTCCACAGCAATCTTTTTATTCCCTTTTTTCTTATTTTCTCTTTTTACAGTTCTACATATTTGCGCGCGCGAATATTTTTCTTTTTTGACATTTCTGCACATTGGCGCTTGCAAATGGGTTTCTCGTTGTTTTTTTTACAGTTCTGCACATTTGCGTGCGCAATGTTTTACAATGCAATATTTTTCTCATTGATAGGAACTTTTGTAACCTTTGATTTCAATTATATCAGGTCACAGACCGAAATTGAAGATTTCGCGCTTCGTCACGAGACTTGTAGTATAGTATTTTTTACTCTAGTTTCAAATAGATGCCCAGAAATTAATGTAAATTTAAATTCAAATCTTCATTTCGGACAAAACATCCATATAGCGTTAATAACAAAATATGTACAAACTATGTTAATATAAATCATATAAACATTGACGTATACCCGTACCCATCGATATAATATGGTCACGGCCGTCTAACATGGCAATACGAGTTGTCATTAAACAGTACGTCTAAAGGCCCGGGCCTAGGGCGGCCAGATTTTAGGGGCGGCCAATCATGACTAAAAATTCACTGATGGTAATAAGAAATAACTCAAGGTTCCTAAATATTTTAAAGGCTCACGCACATTATGGCGGGCCGCACTGCGCCGCATCGTATAACAATAATCTTCCTAAATCGGAGCGCAGTTGTCACAGTAATGATATGGCAGACTAGTTTTCAAACTAACTAAATGACATTTCGTCTCTATTTCTCGTTATATACTCGATGTTATTTTGTTATCCATTTACGACTGCTAGTCAGGACAGTGACGATGTATTATATTTTAATTTAATTATTAAATTTATTTTATGAGCGCACCTACATCGACACCTTAATTAGAATAATTAATCTGAATAACGATTTCGTAATTTTGTATCTGAGATTAACATAGAATATTCTAAAGTTAAACAGCGCTATAGTAAATAATAATTAATCAATTAATCATTGCATTTAACACGTTCATGGACAGTACTTATACACACGTCAAAAGTGTCTTAAGGATTAAGGATTTTTATTTTTTTATTAAATTATTTATTTATTTATTAAATTATGAAATTCACCAAATAAAAAACCAATGATGTAAAAGAATAATTTAAAAACCTGATTTTTCAGTAATTGGCAAAAACATGCTTCCCTAGACACTTTTCATGAGTGTAGAACCACACACAAAAATATCACTACTTTTCTTTATGCCGTAGTGCTTATACTGATTCAATATTGTTCAAAATAAATATTGAATTTTGTCAGTACGTTGTTGATACTTCTCTATAGAGAAGCGGTAGGCGACAACTACACACAAAACGCTTAGAAATTGCACTATAAACCTTGTAGTTGGTTTTTTAACCGACATGAAAAAAAGAGGTTTTTTTTTTCAATTCGGCATTTGTGAACCGATTTGGATGATTCTTTTTCGTTCGAAAGCGGCTACCTCAGTTTTGCTCCTATTTAAATTTAAAGAAAATATTCTACCTCTAAGCGCCCAGTTACACGAGTCTCAATAAAATTACGCGCGGCCGCCGCGTAGACCAAAATCAAGCCAGGCTAGCTCGCGTGTCTGGATCGCTCATTTAAATAATACATTAATTGCGAATCTGTATTCTATTTACTAGGCAAAAACATTTAAATTCCTCTAAATAATACAACCGCGCGGACCGCCGAGTAGACCAAGTTCAAGCCAGGTTCGCCCGCGTGTCCGGGACGCTCATTTAAATAAAAACGTAAAAGCCAAACAAATAGAGCGTATTTTGCCATGACAGTTAGACGCACGCGGTCGCTGCGCGGCGGCAACTCGGTGATGAAACCGGTTTCACGCATTTTTCGGTGACTGATTTCAATAAAACTTTTCAAATAGATGTAATTCCACGAAATTTTAAGATCGTTTATTTTATAAAATGGTTATAATTATTGAGATCCGTATTACCGAAACGGTGTCCCCCTACTATCATAATATGTTGATATTAAATTTTGCATTAAACGCCACTACTGTCCATGATCGAGTTAATACAATTGCTAGTTTAAATCATCTTTAATTGAACGTAGTTAAACCAAAAGGATCCAATGCACACCCAGTCACTTTCGAGATATGACAGTTTGAAGTTGAAAAGTGTTTTTTTTTTTTTTTATTTTTTTTTTTTATTGCGACTCGACAAAATGACTGCACCGCGCCTGATGGAAAGTGCGAATACAGTCCAGAGATGAGAGTAACGGATGGAAAATACAAATATCTTCACTCCGTCACTATCATTTTGCCGGTCTGGCCAAATGCACTGGATGTACACCAACTGATCCCTGAACGCGATTCGCAAAAGCGTTTCACTGTGGAGGGTTTTCCGCCGTGTGTACTGTGGTCGCTATCCAGTCGGCACAGAGCCTACCACAACGCTAAGCAGATGGACACTTGTGACGCCCTCGGTCGCCTCTTACGACCCCCACGGGCATGTATGGGGAGGCGACAATGTATTCTTAAGCCGTCGCCCCACGGCTAAAAAAAAAAGTGTTTCTCACTCTTGTTTTATTTTCAAAACTTATAATCTCATGTAACTCCAGGAGATATTTATTTATGTTTATATATTGGATTTTTTGCTGATCTAAGAGGTTAGGAATCTAAGTAGGTTAGACTTTAGGAACCGCTTAATATACATAACTCATTTTTCGATAATTTTGTGGATGATCTTTTTTGCTTAACTACGTCCAATTATAAAATTACTTGTATTATGGGTAGGAATGACGAGAGCTTTATTTCTTTAGTCGATTCGGTTGACTCGATGCATTTTCATGTAAGACTTCTTTTTTGTAATTTTTTATGATGTTGTTACATATTCTTTTACGACAAGTTAATGTGTGATGCTTTTAAATAGGTTTAGTAAAGCTTTACACACAGAATCACATTTTATATTGTACGTATGTAATCGTAATATTATTATAATGTATAGAGTTTGAAAGTTAAATAGGTACGTACGTAAATTGTATAAATAGGATATTGCGGGATGTATGGACTGGTCTACTAATTAGTATAAATAAATAATGTAATGTAGCCTGGACTTTTATTTCTTCAATTACCATTCCGCGTCATCTTGCTGAATTAAAAATAACTGAAATGTAACGAAATACTTTTATAGATTTCTCATAAATGGCATTACGGCTAAAAAGTCGTTAAAAACCAGATACAAAGATCCGACAACAAGCACATAGAAAGATTCGTGAGGTCCGCTGGTTGGTTCCGTGGCTTAGTTGGCACAGCGTCTGGCACGGCTTGCTAGAAGTAATTTGTAATTTTTGGGCGAGTGATAGAACTTACCTATGATAGATGCCTTCGTATTCATTTAGTGCTTGCGAACGTGTCAACATGGTTCTATGTGACGGCTTGGCCCGTGGAAATACCTCTTACAGACTTCAGACTACGGGATTGAACATCTTAGCGCCGTTCAATACAATTCCCGACGTGGTGCAGGAGCATTTTTGGAAGTGCGAACGGCAGCCAAAGTTCTACGGAGACCACATGGCCATCGCGCTGGGTATGTACTGAACGCGGGTTGAAGACACTCATGCGCTCCGTTGCATGCGTTAAATGAAGATTTAATTAAGACCTACTAATTTTCATACAATATCTAATTTGTAAAAGTAGAGTGACTGTGGCGCTGGAGCTTCTAAATATTGTATGAAAATTACGAGTAGTAGAGGGGCGACAGCAGCGCTACTTTTGCAGACTAGATAATTTATGAAATCTTATTAGGTACTATAGCGCCTAACGTGAAGGCGCCCTAATAACAGCCGTTTTTAATACAAAAAAATAAAAGCTTTTTCATGAACTTTTTATCCAAACTAAGAAATGCAAAAATAGTCAAAGGATAATTACAGTGATCTTATATTATGATACGTAACAAAAGCGATAATTATATATTATACAGCTGATAATACAAATGTGCTGTCGGAATAGTGAAATGTCAATAGTGTAAGTCGAAACAAGCATGTTTTAAAAGTTTTCGGTAAAAGGTTAAATAAATTATTTTCTTTCTTACCCACACGGTGTAATAAATTCAAATCAAATCAAATATCTGACGAAAGAGGAAACTGACGGATGTGTACTAAACATCGAGTATATAATATAACCAGAAATAGAGACGAAATGTCATTTGTTTGAAAACTATTCTGCCATATCATTACCGTGACAACTGCGCTCCGATTGGCTAGCCCGAGTTCGAAACAATTGACGGGTATCGTCAACTGTTTCACTTCAAATCGACCAGTTAACTTGAACTTTGCTACAATGGACGAAAATTGCAAAATTACATATTTATAATTTAATTAACGATGAAATGTGATTACGTTTGTTTTGTAATTAGATGTTTTGCTGTTTTTCCCACACCTCCGAATAGAACAGCACGGCATTGTTAGAGATATTATCTTTATTACAATAAGTACAGAATAGTTTTTGGAATGTACGTACACACAGATCAGTAGTTGGCCTATCTATATTTCAGTGCAAACGAGAGTTGATATTTATTTATAAGAGCTGTATCGCTAATGTGTTACCAGGAATATATGGCCCTTATTTAATGTCTATTTCTGGTTATATACTCGATGGTACTAAATCATACATTCAGTTTACATTCTATTTTGGAACTGAACTTGAACATTAAGTAAACGGTAGTTTTCAGGTTAGTTCCCTCTACCTAATATTGATGGCAATGTTCTAGAATACTATCATGAAGTATTATTTAATATTCGAGTGTAGTATCTTGAAATATTATTTAACATTTCAAGATAATCTTGTATACTTAAATAACAAAAATTGCCACAGAAATTACTAACCTGAAAATGACCCCAGTCAGATACAATTTTCATAAAAGAATAAGGCGCATTGTATTCTGTCCCCTTGAAGTACAACCAAAGAAAATACATTATGGAGTTTTTTTAGAATAAAACTAGTGTGTTAAGTTTTTATTTTTATTGTAAATATGCTAAGTTTACAAGTAGGGTTCGGGGAATTCGAACGTCACTTCACGCCCCGTCAGCTTCTTGTACACTGATTGGAAAGTGTCCACCTGAGGACAAAAAAGCATTAAGTACCCATACAAACAGATTATACAGAACATATGTTGACAAATCGAGTCTCAATTAACCCGGTGTCCTTAACGACTTTGGTACTAAAGCGCCCTTGAGTCACACAGTGTCTCTAACGCGCGCAGCTGTTTTTATCCACCATTAAAAAAAAAATATAAAAAAATAAAAATTCAATTTTTTTTCTAAATGTCGATAGGGACACCATGTATCTCAGGACGCGTGACGGATTAAAGTCCAAAAACTCATGAACAACAGAGACATTTCGTATCATTTTAGAGCAAAGCAAGCCCATACTATCAGGAAAGTTTGCTTGCCTAAATACATAACCAACAGAGCATATTGAATGCCTATTCACATACGCATATATCGTCGGGATAGTGCAATTAGCGTAACTCGTGTACGTTATGAAGTTGCCCTTTCGGTAAGTTAGTGACCAAACCAAATCCACGTAAACCTCGTGGTAATCAAATTAGCTTAATTTACTGGAATTTATTGTTATCAGTCCTTAAATAATATAAATTAATGCTTACTGTGCAAAAATGAAAGTCGCAAAAATTGAAATAACAAAGTAATAACATTTGGACGTAGTTAAGCAAAAAGGATCCAATCCACAAAATTATCAAAAAATTATTAAATAAATATAAAATATTATGTACCAAATCGTTCCAAAGTCTAACCCTCTTAGATCAGCAAAAAAATCCAACATATAAATATAAATAAATACCTCTGGAATTACATATATTATAAGTTGTGAAAATAAAACAAGAGTGAGAAACACATTTAAACTTCAAACTGCCGTATCTCGAAAGTGAGTGGACGTGGATTGGATCCTTTTTGTTTAACTATATCTATTTAAACCTGTAAAATTTGATCTCGTGAAGATACGCGCCTTTTACCAATGCTACATACGCGCTTTTGCACTATCCCCGGCGACATGCTCCCTTACTGCGTAACTTAGTATACTGGAATATAGGGTGAAATTTGAAATCCAATACCTATTTAAAAATCATCAATTCTAAAACACAGCAAATGGATTCCGAAATAATAGTCTTTAGTAATAGTATAGTCATAAATAACAATTAAAAAATTACAAACTACATGGTTCAGTGCTATCTACTACACTCGTCAAAAAGTCCGCCCCTTCGATTTCCAATTCCGAAATATATAGGACTTTAGATTTTGACATTAAACTGTGAACATCAGGCTGACTGGTCAGCTGGACTTTTACAGCACTGTACACTGTATTAAACTAAACCCTGTTTGTTATGCAAACGATGTAAGGTATAATTTTCAACAAAAACTTAAAATATGGCACATCATATCAGTCTGCATATTAGTTTTGAATTATAAGTATGTTTTAGAATAGATTTAAGAGTGTCATTGTAATTTGTTTTTGTAAAATAAACATTCCTTTTGTGTGTTACCATAAAAATAACACGAAATTATTGTATTTCGTGACATACCTTGTGTTCAATGGTGGTCTGCTGATTCTTATCTAGGTGCACCTTGATGAGCTGTGAGCCGTCCAGTTTGACGCGAATACGCTTGCCCACGATTTCCGCAGGGAACACCAGGTCTTCCAGGATCGCATCATACACCGATGTCAATGTCCTGGGAATTCACAAGTTTATTTAACAACGGTTAGTATTGTGGTATTAGTTGACATTACTCTAAAATTGAAATTCCATTGGGACTCCGCCGAGATCATGTTGCAGTTATGATAATAGTTCTTATTCTACTTAAATCGAGTGGTTTTATGAAAATTAGTTATGATCTGAAGAGACTGGTTTCCAAGAAAATAACTATCAAAACTGCACAGTGTTGATACTTTCCACTCTGTCCATAAATTTTTCTTTGAATGGATACCCTTAAAATAGAATCGTCAATAAAATTGTCTCTCTACATTTACCACACAAAAGCTGAATCTAGGACGTGTGACATACCACCCAACCATCAATAATAAAATTGTACCTTGATCTGGGCCTCTTTTGCTTGTTAGCAACGCGAGTCTTGTGGCTGGGCTTGGGCAGGATTTTGCGATCTCCGATGAAGACGACATGCTTGCCACTGAATTTCTTCTCCAACTCTCGAACAAGGCGGATCTGGATCTTCTGGAACGCCTTCAGCTTGGGCATAGGCACATAGATGATGATTGACTGAAATGAAAATAAATAAATGCTATAAATTATTAATAACAAAGATCGAACACTTGGAAAAATTTAAAAGTTGTGAGCGCTGGATGTGAATGTGGGAAACGATTCCCACATTCGCATCCAGCGCTCACAACGCAAACCGTTAAAGGTGTAGTTCCAGTTGTTGTAAACAGAAACATAGATTTGATTTCAGGCTTCAAATAGAAATCAAGTTGCTCTTTTTTATTTGAAATAGCAAACTGACTGAAACTAATGTCAATTTGAAAAATAATGCAATCTTATGTAATGATGGATTTGGTTCAGCTCTCAATGAATTTGCTGAAACAGAACCTCTATGAGTAATTAACTTGTTATTAGTCCTACTAATGTATGTGTATATTGTGAACACCTTCAAAATATGACATATTTTTTTTTTAAGAATTTTGGATGAAAACAGTAGTGCGTTAGAGACACCATGTGGCTTTAGAACGCTACAGTGTGAAAATCGTTAGGTCGTAAACGTTTTATTTATCGTTGAACGACTGTTGCGTTTAGGGTGTTCCCAAATCACGACTACATGTCGTGACTGTGTTGTGGACGTTTACTTTATCGATGACCGACTGTCATGTGTTGCTGTTCCCACTAGATCGTGGCGACAATTTATCTGTTCACGGTAGCCGCCTTGTCGTTTGAAGAACAGAAACGCTAAAAAAAGCTACGATTATCAGTCATCACATTTTCATTGTGACGTTTTATTTATCGTCTGACAACTGTCGTTCTAGTTCTTCCCATCATCGCGACAGGCTCTCGTCGTCGTAACGTCAAAAAAGTCGTGAACGACAGTTAATCGTGTTTTACTATATGTGAACAATTCATTTAATCATACAAGCCACGACACTGTAAACTGCACGACTATCTATTGTCACGACAACTGCACGACTATCTATCGTCACGACACAACCGTGTGTCTCTAGCTATACAATACTCTTAAATTCACATAATAATAATAAGTATAGGTCACATATTTTATATACAGATAAATGTCTATATATAGATACAAGGAGTGACATAAGAGTGGTTAAAACCACCAAATGCAAATAATATCTACATTAGTTAACCCCTTCATGGACAGTACTGAAATAATACCGCACACCAAAAGTCACTATTTTTCTATATGCTGTAGTGACCATATTGATTCAACATAATTAGTACGCTTTATCACTGACGGCTGATCCCGTCAACATTCATAGCAGCACTGCAAACTGTTCTTGCAAATGTTTCTTGTGCTTAAGTAAGTACGGCTATAACAGTAGTACAGTGATTTTATTTATTTCAGCAAAAAATGTCTAAATCTATACTTTAAAATAGCGCACACTGCAAAATAGTAACCCTTGAAGTATAAGAAGACAAATAAAAGTTATTGTGAACTAACAATTCCAAAAGAAACTATTACTAATTAGATTATATTTAAGCAGTGATGAAGGTTATTTATTTACTATTTGAATAATTCAATCACAGTTTGGAAAGTAGTAAGAGAGACGATTTTGATTACTAATAGTACACTATGTATTGACACAACACACTCATGGCCCAAATTTAAATGAAAATTAAGTAATTCATTTCACCTAAACGTGTGAAAACACAATTAATTATTATTTATTATATAATAGGGTTTCTGCAATACACATTATTGGTTTCTTGAATTACTAAGAAACTATGCATTGGGAGAAAAAAAAATTGAGGGATTTTGTATTGTATATATTTTATTTATTTAGTTCCAAGGCGAAAACAAACTACACAACCACAAAAGGCAGTCGCTGGCGACGCACTGACATGTGCGGTTTTTACATCACCTCATACAAACATGTCGGTATTCACCATACTGTCCTGGTGTGCACATATGAAATATGTGTATGTAACGTCCACAAACGTATCTCAAATAAATCATTCAATTTTGTCAGTACATTTTTGATACTTCTCTATGGAGAAGCAGTATGCGGCAACTACAAAGAAAGCACTTGGAATTCGCATGGTAAAGCCCGTAGTAGTTTTTTTTAGATCCATATTTCGAAACGGGATACCATACTGTCCATATTCGAAATTTCATTTTACTGTTAACGCCTTACAGTGCATTAAGTAAAAAGAAAATGAAATGATATAGATAACCTTTTTATTTTTTTATTATTTGTCCTTAAATTGTTTTCTGTAAATCGATTCTTAACAAAAATTATCTCAATAAGATATTTATATCGATTTTGACCTATTTTATATTAGTACATCTCTAGAAACTTCAAATCTCAAACGTCACCAGAATCATGCTTTGTGAAAAGAATGTATTATAAGGACATTTCTATTTCATGAATTTAAATTAACAATAAGCTAAATTACGTTTTGTTACACTACAATAAAGTTCAGATCTAACCTAAAAACTTATTTATTCAGTACACATGTTTACACACAACAAATTTGTATTAAAAAAAAACCTACGTTATACACCGTAATTACACTTCTTAAGCCAATTTAAACCTACCATATCCAAATTCTTACCTTCTTGTTGTGTAGTTCGATTTCTTTTGCTTTAGTAATGAAAAGCTCCCTCAGTTGGGCCTTGAGGTCGGAGTTGGTTTCCAACTCGACCAGAGCTTGCGAGATCGAAGTCTCGAAGGGGTCGGCTTCGGTGCCGCCAGCTTTGATGATCTTCGTACTCATCTGTGGACGAAACCAGTAATTTTACGTCGCTAAACACTTTGAAGAGGTTAGAAAAACTTTACACCAACAAGTTATCAAAAACTATGGTTTTGACACAGAAATCACGGTTTCACTTCACTAATATATACTTTTAAAGTGATTAATGGGTTTAAATTAGAGATAAAGGAGAAAATACACTTTAAGAAAACAAAACGTTGGACGAAAGCAGTGCATTCGACACCCAAAAATATCTAAGTAATCGTTACCCTTATGAGACAATTATTGCACTAAATGAATTGCTGTATTATTACAGGCCAATAATATTACGTTATTTGTGCAATTAATGTATTTATTTTTGTAATTTTATCAAAATATTCACAAGTTGCACTACCTTGACAACTGACCGGGAGAGAAAGAGATAGAATATCAGTCTTGCCATGCAACAAACAGGAAATTGCCTAGAAAAGAAATTCATTTCAAATACTATCATTTTTGTGTCAATGTTACCTTAATGACACAATCTACGTCTCTAATCGATAAATACTGTATAACACAGAGCAACGGAAACATATATTTTAATAGAAAAAAAAGCAAAAACATATTTGTTCATTATAAATTTTCCTTAATTGGAGGGTATATTTATAAAATGACAGCATTTTGCTTGTCGTTTAGAAATTCTAGGACACTACTTTTAACATTTAAATTATAGTTCAGAAATCAAATTCTTGCTTGTTCGTTGTTTAACAGCTCCTCTCGGTATAATTTAAGTCGAGGTAAGGAAGTCGGAAGTCTTCTTGTTCAGGAAGCAGCGAGCAGCAGAATCTTATTTTTAGTGACGAGGGAACTAGAAAAAATTAATTTGCATGTATATACGATATGTTTTAACGTAACTTATATTCATATTAAAGTGTAGTGTTGGATCATGGAAAATTTCCATTTTGAAAAATTCCTATCAAAAAAAACCATTTTCCAAATATATTTCCATATATGCCTGATTCGAGTCAACATTATTTTTTATTGGGAAAAAAGTCCAAAAATAAGGAAAATCAATTATCCATTGAAACCTTTAATGAAATAATCACAATATACTTTCCATAAAAATTGCAATAGCATTTATCGACTAAATTACACAATCATAACGATGCTCATAAGAATAACATAAATAACAAAAATAAATTTATTTAGGAAATAACATTGTTGAATTACAAAGCATCACACTGATTAACATAGCTTTAGTATACACCGCTGATTACCCTACATGCAGACAGACAATTTGTCAATAAAAAAATTTTGTTCTCTGTTCAGTAACTAGTAGTATAGCGAATGTAACGCTCAAACAGTAGGATAAACTCGGATATTAAACATTTATTTACATATAAAAGAAAAAACAAAACCATATAAATTATAAACAACTCACGACGCGGTGGAATGCTAAGTATTCATTTACAATATTATTAATTAAACGAATTCAACAACGTTATTTCTAAAATTATCCACCTTGCACCTCTTCCTGGTTTTTGAACACATACATGTGCTTCCGTATGTGCAAAATGCGCAGAAAAATCTGATCATTAGTGGATATTGCACTAAACCTGCCAACTCGCCTATTTTGCCGTCTAGAACCAAATACCGTTATAATTTCTTTATAAAAATAATAACTTTGCCCATTTTTCGAAACAAGTACTACTTTACCGAATGTAAAAGAAATGGCGCAATATATAAAGGAAAATAATTGTTCAATTTTGTTCCAAGTTTTCGAGAATCTATTATGAAAACATTTCATGAACAATATGTTTCCTTTGAGTGACAAAACAGCCACATAATACAAGATTTTCGCGACATTCGGATATACTATAGAAAATATTTAAATTGATAAACAAATCAGTGAATACAAATTGGGCAAAGCATTACTTTTATATATACTGAATTCTTACTACAAATCCTTTTAAATGTGTAAACAGAGAGTATGTTAACAACAGCAGTACATTATGTTTGAAAAGTATAGTTCACAGCAGCATACTTTTTTAATTCTTTTGTGTAACCAACAATAAGAAACAGAACCATTGCAGTGTTACAAAAGTCAAAGTACCGTTTGGTGAGTTTCATAAGTTCAACATGGTGCTTCATATACAAAACGTACTAACGCATGCACTGCTATTTACCAAATACTGCTAAGCTCGTGTGAACCGGTCACAAGTAAATAAGAGATACGAAACATATTAACGTGTTACTTAGTATACTCTGCCCATTGTGCAGGAATATTTTTTAATGATGTTAAATTATAATTGCATTTTAAGTAACAGATCACTATACTCCGTCCAACCATTTATTTAACTTTTGACATATGCATATCTCCGAAGTTCCGTATTGATGTCATACAACCAAAAACAAAAAATGCAACACTTCCTGGATTCTTTTTTTAATTTTAATAAAGCGACGTGCTCTTTAGCTCCGATATTTATCAAGCCAACAGATTATGTAACGAAGGTTATTCAAGTTGATAAATTTTGATACCTGTCTATTAAACAATAATGAAATGAAATAAATTATAAATAATTATAATAAATCCGTATTGTTTACTATAATGAATCGTCAGATTCTTCTCCACATTAACGGGAAACATCACTGGAATCCTCATTAATATTAATTATTAATTCTCGAGTACACAAATTGTCAAACGCTACATCACGATCCCAATCAGACAATATCTGCTTTTTTAAACCCGCAAATATTCACGATTAAAACTTCTTCGTAAATAAGCTTGATTGGTGTAAAAAATCAAATCGGAAACACAATGACATAATTTCGATCAGAATTGGAGTTGTCAAAAGTAAAATAAATTGTTGGACGATAAAGTAAAGAATCTGTAGTAAGGACAGTATAACATGACATTAATTTCTAACCTACACCCCAAAACCATAGGAAAATTGTTCATACAATCCATTGGCATACTTTACACTAGAGAGCGGTAATATCGACACGAGCAACACATACAGTAGCTTGAGTAAATCAAATTCATTAGACTTTGTCAAAGGAACTCAATCTACTTTATTCCGCAACATAGCAAGCTTTCAAATCGAATTTGTTCACATTCAAACAAAATAGGGTTTTCTCTATTTTTCATATAAGTTCACAACATGTATAATATTAGTATTCTCACTGGACAATAAAATCAAAGGAATGGTACTTATAACATAGTTTAAAATACAAAATTTGGTCAAAGGTGTAGCTGTGCCGTATAAAAATAATAGTGTATTGTAAGCTCAAAAAAGTATAGCTGTTCCTTTTCACTCTAATTATACAACGTTTGGAAGAGCAAGAACAAATTTTGTACTAATTTTAAACACTATATTATGCAGCTGTCACTTAAAGACTGCAATTGAAAGGCTGAGTACATGATATAATGCATGGCAAATTACCAGCCTTATCGTATTTATATTCCAATATCAATACGATTCTGATAGCTCGCCAGTCGCTGTTAGCCGGAAGAACCAATCGCTAAGAAAATTTAAATACTGGTAAGGTTCGGCTTATTTGCTCCCACGTGTAGTTTTAGAGTAACAAGTGTTGGGAAATTTAACAGAAAAACATTTATCTGTCAAAGTGATGAGGGTAGGTAACTATTAACTTTTTGTAGCCGCGACTTTCTTCTGACAGTGGTAAACTTTTAGCAGTAGTATACTCTTTAGCCTTGGTGTACCGTCAATGGTATATTTTTAGCAATGGTATACTGGCAGTGGTATATACATCAGGAATGGATTAAAACGGTTCTTTTTCAGGATTATTAGTTAAATGGTAATTTCCTAATCACTATTAGAACTCGCATAATACTGTGCTCTACTGACACCGTTACTTATGGTATACCGACTGCTAAAAGTAGTAAGATGCCAAAAGTAGATAGCTACAAGTGGTATACAGTTAAATATTATTGCTTAGCAACGGTCTAGACGACGATGACGAGAGGCAGATCGTCTATCATAAGGACGGCGGCGGCAGCGCGCGCCTCGCGACGAGGCCTCCTGCGTCCAGCCGGGGCCAGTCCACGAACTCCGTGCCATATCTAGGAGATTAAACAAATAAATAAAATTTTCAACCCATGAAATACATAATTAATCTTGTTCCTAAGAAAAAATTGACCTCAAAAGTTTGTAGAATTAAATCTATTTGCCAATTATTGATATTACTTAATGGAAAGTGAGTGGAATCGGATAAACCGGATTCATTCTCTAATTTGCCACCCTTAGAGGTGGAATACTTTCTTCAAATTTGAATGATACCACTACTGACCTCCCTTCTAACAAAAAAAGGAGTAATATAGCGTAACATACAAACAAAAAAGTACAGTCGAATTGAGAACCTAAAAATAGATACCATTAAACAAGGTAACTTTTTGAAATGCGTATTTTGATAGACGAGAAGTTCGATTTCGTGTCAGGTATGAGTAAACAAGTGAACGACCTTTGAACCTGCCTTGTTTTTGTGAGATTATACGTAGTACGAAATTGGCAGCCAAATTCAACTTAATTCAGGATTGCTATAAGGCTTATAGAAGATCCTCTGGACCTAAAATTAAACACTGTCTTCTGTTTAATAAATGGATTAAAAGCGTCCGGTACTTTTTGTGATTCGTTTACCTGAAAATGAGGGCGAGAGTAGCGCCCATACAGGCGCCCCACATCATGATATAGGACAGCGCCTTGGTGTTGTACTCCTTTGGCAATATTGCGCTCGCGCAGAACATTGACATCGCGAACAGCAGCACCGATGGGAACTGAAATCAAGCGTACCAAAGTTAATAAAAAAAAATCAGTTCTGGACAAATAATTCAAGCCACTTTGCATTTTTATTTTTAATTCGTTTTTACATCACTACATGTCTAGAAACTTCAATCAAACCTGAAACGTCACCTTACCCATGCTATGTGAAATGAACTATAATGTGGATATCTGGCATATTATTGTTACACAGGAACAGTCACGATGACACAAATCTCTTTTTATTGTACGGTCGTGACATAATCGCGTGTTTTTTTTAAACAAGTCAATAGATGACACGTACCGTATAGTACCGCCAGTTCCGTTGCAGCCGCAGCGGGCAGCGCACCGAACAACCTTCGCCATCTTGGACCTTGTACTTGCCCAATAACAAGTCCATTGAATCCTGTATTCAATCATTAACATAAGGTTTTATTAGACAAAAAAATACACTAGATGAATCGCTATGTCAAAGTTGGGTGTATTACTTAATAAACATATTATTTACATTTTTTTACATGTTTAAGTTATTGAATGTCACGATGTTTGATCACTATAATATTCAATTATTTTTGTGAAATTACTCCACTAGTTTGTTATAATTATTAATACAAAGATCGAAACACTTTGGAAAAACTCCTTCGGTACGACTGAATTCGAACGAACGTCTTCCAGCAAACCGTGTCAGACGCTATGCCAACCTAAGCCACGAAACGAACTAGTGGACCTTACGAATATTTCTACGTGCTTATTGCAGATCGTTGTTTTTGGTTTTCAATGACTTGGTTACAATTTATTTTTGTACTTTAAGAGGAGCAATGTATATTATCAGTCTTGTATACCAAGTGACGGGGCAAGCAAGTCGCGCGCCTGGTGGTAGGCGACACGTATGTCTGTGACATTGCAGTGCCACTCAATAATGCTTTAAATCACAAATATTTTAATGGCACTGCTGGCTAGTCTCATGTGCCTGTAATTTCACCAGCACCCTTATCCTTAAAAACAAGAACGCAGTAATGCTCACATTACCGGTGGCAGTGCTTCTCTGGACAAACTAAGGAGCTCTACTGCTATTAAATTTATTTTAGCCAACGATATGCAATGTCAGATCGTCAGTTTCTTTTCGAATGTGTAGCAATCGATCGCGAAAACCTAAGAATTCAAAATTGTATTTTATATGAAAATCGATGCATTCGTTTTATTCAGTACTACATTTAAAAAAATATTTTGTTAATTTTCCAAAAATGCTACTTCTCGAAATTCGTTAGCCACTTTATTATTTGATTTTTAGTTCGGGACTTAATCGTGTATTAAATCTATATTTTGAAATTAAAAAACACCGTAATTTTAACAGACAAGACGGTTTTAAGCCTTCGTGGGATCAGTCATCAGCAAATGTAAACAACATCAAGTATCGCCCGACAAGTCGCCTGATGTCGTGAGTGTCGTGTGTCGGTCTGGTGACAACACTAATTCACAAATAAGCATTGTCATGCAAATAAGTAATGAAGACCAAGTGCGGGTAGTTAGAAAAACTCGCACGGCTAGAAGATGTTGACATCCGCCTCTTCAGTCCCTTCAAGACGATGGACGTTGCGATAGGTCCGAAACGTCGAAGTTATTAAAAAATATGTTTTATACCGATGAACAAAAAGAACTATACTATAAACGAAAAGCAAATAATGTGTGAAAATCGTGAAAGTTTGAATCAAAGTAGCCAATTTTTTAATGATAGTGCGATGTTTTGACATATCCTTACCTGTCTCCAGCCGTCACTGAAATTGTTCTTATAGTATCTGGTGAGCGAGTTGATCCCGTCGTTGATGAGACCGATGCGCGTGCGCTTGCCAGTGCGAGTGAAGTCCGTCTTGAGGGCCCCCGTGCCGGAGTACTGTATGGAGATCATGTCCGCGTGGTCGGCCCACACCTGAGGCAAATTATAAAAGCCAAATAAGGTTTCAATTTAAGTGAACGCTATTCGACGACAATAACTCGATTTATTCCGGCTTCGCGGCCGCCATTTCTTTAAATGTTATAAAGCGGATTTTTGCGAATGTGTGCCTATACCTACATTATTAAACAATTTCACAATCCAAGCAGGCAGCTGTTCATTCCTCAACTTGACTTCTAGCATCTGCAGCGATGTCTCCAGCTGCCTTTTAGCGAGTAAACTTTGGACTACGTTGGTGCGGTCCAAACAGTCCACGCAGTTGGTCCGAAATGCTCCATTCTGGTTTAGAAGCACGTGACCACCTCGAGACATGAAGTAGCTGAATTCTTCCTGTACACAAAAATAACACCACATTGATAATTGTCTTTGTCAATGTTATTAAATGCCATCCTACTTTGAGTTTATGACTTCAAATCCCCCAGCAGTTTTGCGATCTCGGTATTTCGGCATTGGTTGTTGGTGTTTTGGAATCGTGATTTTGATGGAAAAATTTGTATGATGGTTGCACACCAGATTTAAAATATTACCATTTCAAAATTAATTTATTATATAAAAATGCAAATTATTATTTCACAGAAATATTGATTGTCGCAAATTATGTCGCGATTTAGTAATTTAACAAACTCAAACTTTAGAAACATTATTTACTCGCTGCAGACTCGGCCAAAAAGTATCGGAGCGGGACAGCAATATTGCGCTCTCTCTCTCCCACTTACCAGTAGAGTACGAGCAGGTACTGGCCTTTTGTTTAAGCGCAGGATCGTGCATCACTGCAGTCGATAAATGCTATCGATATCTATAGATGATGTTCAATTTTGCTGTAATAGTGAAAGTAAGAATGGAAATAAAAACAATTTATATAGCACATTATTGGTAACAGTACGTGCTTGAGCCGTAATATTAGTTCCGACATGTGAAATATGATTTTTATAAAAACTACTCATTGTCAACGTTCAAACAGGGAAGGGTCAAATATTACAATAAAAAAGGTTGCGATATTTAAACATTAGTAAGTAATAAATTACTCATAAGGTACTGCACCGCCCGCACTTGCCACCCCTCGCTCTTAGTTACTCATTTGTTTTTATCGATATCGGATAGGCGCACGCGTCACTAAGCAGGTGAGAGAGAAAAATCGCTGTCCCGCTCCGATGATTTATGACCGAGTCTGCAACGAGTAAATAATCTTTCTGTAAACGTTACATTATCATATTCATTATTATTATTACACAACCATTTTCACTAACTGTAACTACACTATTTTAAATTTTTTCTGATTGTCTATTGTGTAGAATTTTTACGTGATCTCTAATAACTTCCGACTCTGTAAACTCAAGGAAGAAGCACTGGTTTGTCTGTTTTCTGAAAAAGGCAACAGTCGATGTTTTCCCTACCTGCTCGTGTGAGATCCGGTCAATGAGCACATTGAGTCTGTCGTATCTCATACCACGGCACTCCGCGTGGAAGTCGAAAGGCTCGTATCGAACGCCAGGTAGGGCGGCAGCCGCTACTGCCGCACGGTAGCCGCGCTCAAGAGACTCTTCTTTGCCGCGCTGGTCGATCTAGGTTAGGAAAAATCGTTATTATTCGTTTTTTTTAATTAACCGTTTCGAAAATTCAGACTCAAAATATCTATCATCTTATAGGCAAATTTGCTTAGTGTAACATTTGAAATCATTATGTTCATAAATGGCTCCGTGGCCGAACGGCAACCATACATACATGGACTGCCACGCAAGAGGTCACGGGTTCGATTCCCGTGCAGAGGGAAATATTTGTATGGCCTTCATTTATTTATCTCGTGAGGTTGGGTGTAATTTGTGGGTGTCTATATGTCCGTAGCCACTGCGATACAGGGTTTTCCTAGTGCGGTACCATGAGTGTGCGAGTTATGACTATTTCTAAATATTAATTTTACTCACCAAATTGACAAGCACCTGCGATCCATACCGCTGGTGCTGGTCCCTCAAATGTTTCGTATAAGCCGAGACGTGGTCCTCGTGCGACAGAGTCATCGCGGGCTTATACTTCAAGTTGGGGTACTGCGTCCAGAACAGCGGTATGGAGCCGCGCGTTTGCAAGAACGATGTTTTCGTGCCGCCGAATTCTAGTATTTGTTCTGTTTCTACGAAGTTTGCTACATTGCCCTGGAAATACAAATTTACTAGCTGGGCTTCGTAAACTATATTCTTGCATTAAACGATGCGCTAAGATAACGGCAAAAACAATGCAAATAAAACAATTTTTTCGTATCTAAAATTTCGTATATTTGTTTTTTCAAAAAGACCAACGTTCAAGAAAAAAAAAACAAATGAAGTGCCATAAGCCTCGATTACTACCGGAACCGATGTCGCCAAAACTCACACATTCTCAATTTGAAACACTACGAAATCTTGATAATGATTAGTCGTAGTTTCAAATTTAAAAAGAAATAATTAAGAAATAACATTCTGGATTTTTAACATAATTTAAACTTTACCCTGTTGGCATGTCGTTGTAAGTTCAATACCTATTATTGATTGTTACGATGTTTTGATACATATTAAATTGAAAATTCAATCAATGTCCTGCCGTCTAGCGGTTAATTGCTGAATCACCGATGAATTGGAGTTATTAATTTCGTTTTCCAATAAAGAAGCGACCATATTGCAGAGGTTTAATTTCGTTCGAAAAAATTTTTCGATAAGCAGAAAATTGAAAATTTATTAAAATAAGACTTGCCGACGATGTGATACTGCGGGTAATACTTTTGGTGCGACTATAATTTTTGCTCTCCAAAACAGCACAATAAGGCATTTTTCTACAATTTTATCGAATTTATGCGAAAGAATTGACACAACCATACCATACAAAACGAAAACGGCGAACTGAGCTCACATAGGACTTAAGAGACCTATAGTTGGCACGCGTGTGAGGCTAACTAACCACTTCTACTATATTTTCGGTTCTGTGGTTCAGGTGCTAGATCTAGCCAAATAAGCTATAGAATAATTTTCAGGTGTATTGAATGTGACGATGTTTGACTACCATAATATTCACTTATTTTTGTGAAATTACTCCACTAGTTTGTAATAATTATTAATACAAAGATCGAACACTCAGAAAAAAATCCTTCAATACGGATGGATTCGAACGACCGTCTTCCAGCAAACCTTGCCAGACGCTATGTCAACTATAGTGCGCGCGGAACTAGCTGGCCGCGCCTTAGGTAGTGACAGGGGTGAGGGGGCGGGTTGCTTGCTGCTCGCAACGCACATGAGATTAGACAGTGACGACCAATCTCGAGATATCGTGAACAATAATTGTTCAGTTATTGAAAAGAAAAAATTAAAGCCAATTGAACTTTTACAAGTTTATATTATACCTATCTAATTAATTGCAATGTACAGTCGGCAGCACATCAGGCCGCCACAAACTGTCAGATTTCCTCAATTGATTTTCAACTTAAAGTCCAGGGAATAGAGTATAAAATTGATTGGATAAATTTGACATTTATGTATTGATGGACTTGCTGTTGTCCGTACATTGCAATTAAAAGTAAAATAAACCAAAAACAAATTAAATGAAATTCTTCCGACATATTTGAATCATTTATGAAATTATTATTAATTAATTAGTGTAACTAACACGACTTTGTATTTATAGATATGAAATTACTCTGACATATTATCCTCTGAATCACTTGATTCTGAATTGTCTGAACTTGAGTCAGAATCATCTTGTAAGTTTATAATGAATTCGTCCATCACAGTATCATATCTCATATCATGATTCCAGTATTCTTGTTCGTTTTTTTGTACGTGGTCGTCGCATTTTTGCCATTGTTCGGCAGAAAATTCAGAAAATAGTCTTGTTAGTATTGTAATTTTCTCGTCCAATGTAGCATTAATGTGATCTCTGGCCAGGCAATTTTTTATATTTGCCCACACAAGCTCGATTGGGTTGAGATCTGGATGATATGGAGGTAGTCTTAGAACAGTATGACCTGCACCTTTCAGAAGTTCATCAATCGTGTATATTTTTTCTGATTGGGTCGTATTAATCAAGCCCAAGAGTTCAGCTTTGACCATCGTGGGAGAAAAGGGCACGTTATGATTTTGCAACCAATTCTGCATATTAATTTTCATACAGGACATAGTCGGTTTCTTCTCAACTTGCACACAGTGGTAAGCTGCATTGTCCATAACTATGACTGAGTTAGGTGGAAGTTTAGGTATTAACTTTCGATCAACCCAGTTGTAAAAATTTGTAGAGTTCATGTATCCATGATAGTCTCCTGTTTTTGAATCTGATTTAAAAATTAGCAGAGCATCGTCAACTAACCCGTTCCGACTACCAGCGTGAACTATTATTAAACGCCTTCCTTTGCCTATATCTGCATAAACACCAGGCTCCGACGAAGATTGCCAACATTTTTGGACATTATGACTTTGGTTAACGTAAGTTTCGTCCAAAAAGAATATATTTCGTTTGTCTTCTCTGAATTTTCTTATGGCCCTCAAATATTTCACTCGCCATTCAACAATGTTTGGTCTCTCTAATAAAAGGGATCTCTTCGATTTACATTTTTTAAATGAATATTCCAGTTTGTGCAAAAGTTCTCTTAAATAAGTTAATCCGCAATCTAAAATATTATCCTCTTTTAACACAGCATTTAGTTTTCGTAGACTTGGATTTGTTTTCTGTACCGTATAAAACTGATTTATTTTTCTTCTTATCACTCCTAAATCAAAATCATCAACTTGTATTTTCTTTTTTATCTCTTTTGGCCTTCGTGGAGAACTAAATTTTGCTTCCCCTGTATTTTGCAAGGATGTTTTACTTTGAGCAATCACTCTCCTTACACTTCGTTCTGATATCCCGGTTGCTTCTGCCACTAATTTATGAATATTCGCATCAGTTTTATATTCTAAACTATTGACATCGGCTTTCCGTTTTTTAAAAAACGTATGCACTTTAAATATTATTTCCTTAGATTGTCTTTTTATCGGCGGACTCATCTTGACATTGCAATCTCTTGTGCGTTTTGTCTAAACTAGCCAGAACTGTCAACGTGTGTTGCCGCCGCGAAGTCCGGCGCCGAACTGAGTATTCTGAGTAATGACATCAAGTGCCCCCGCCTCCCCGTCCCACCGCTCACATACCTAAGGCGCGGCCAGCTAGTTCCGCGCGCACTATAAGCCACGGAATGAACTAGAAGACTAGCTTATTCTTCAAAACCGGTGGTAATGATCCCATTACTGCTTGTCGGCAGATATAGATAAGGTGACAGTACTTCCATGGACGAACTCTATCACAATGTGCTCTACTGATACAAAAATGCTACTTAAGAACTCGATAACTATAACATACCTCGACGTCGGCGCCGCGCATGAAGAACCTCGTTCCGGCACGTTCGACGCATCTCCGGGAAATCAGAGACCACGTCAGCTGATGCTTCTTGATCGTTAGCTTGTTCACGGCAACGACTGCGTACGTGTTAAGGAAGTTATCGTTCTATATGTATATTAGATATTTATGTACATAGAAGATGTTTACGCTAGTAACTTAGTTGCCTTTTGTATTTACCTCCACTTATAATTAGAGAGTTAAGTCAATTGACTTTGTATACTCTATGTCATAGGTTTCCTTTCCAAAGTTTTTGACTCACCGCCTAGGTATGATATAAAAATTGCAACGTCCACCACCACAAAAAATAATTGAAACCACGTATTTTTTATATTAAGTTAACACAAAAAATTACAAGAAAAAAATGTAGTGTAGTTTAAATATAATTCAGGTTTTTTAAAATATGGTCGCACTCCCAGGACAGCATCCCCAATTGCTCCCGATTGGGGCATCGGGTAGGGGTACCGCCCTACCCTACTCTTACAGTAGGGACCACTTTGGGAAACTATGCTCTATGTAGAAAACTTTAAATGCATTCATATCCCTATCGAGCATTTGCATTCCCTTCGAGTATTTGTATTCCTTTCGAGTGTTTGTATCCCCATAGAGTATTTGTATTTTCTTTCGAGTGTTTGTATACCTATCGAGTATTTTGTATTTGTTTTTAGTATTCACATGTTTGCATGTCTACTGATTATTCATATTGTACTAAACTCTGTCGAATAAAAAGGATACATCCTTGTATGAGTGGCAACGCGAATTTCCCAAACATGGGGTCCATGAAGTCTTTCAACAGAAATCCGTTCCAGAGGAAGCGAGGGTCTGCACGGCATGCTAGCGACAGCTGTAAAAACAAAATCAGATGTAACGCTTCTATGGAGTTAGCAAAGTCACCAAAGGCCAGTTAGACTGGACGAAGCAAGCAAATAAATGACACAATTGTACAACGTCCATTATTGTTATATTAACTTAGAGCTCACTTAATATTTTTGTGAAGTTACTTGATGTTTTCAAAGGCAAATGTGCAAAGTAGACACTGCTAAGTCTACACAAGCTGCGGTCTTTTACCGTAACATGGCGCGTTTGCAATAAAATTGTATTTCAACAAATTAGAGTGGCGGTAAACCAGTGGGTGAACGACAGTATTTTGACCGACTTCAAAAGAAGATGAGGTTCTCAATTCGACTGTACTTTTCTTTGTATGTATGTTACGCGAATACTCCGGCCTTTGTGAACTGATTTCGATGATTCTGTTTTTGTTGCAAAGCTCCTGGCTGTTGTCAAACCTGAATATTGGTTCCATGTGGCAAACTAGGGGATGAATCCCGTTACACGTACTTTCCGATAACCGATTTCAATGTCTAATAGATGTAATTCCACGAACTTATGAGTACGGTTTTTTTTATTCAATTAAGAAGTGTATGACTTTAATTTCTAAGTACATTTATGAGCAAAGATTAGGGTGAGGTAAAACGTGCATAATCTAGCGAGTTGTGTATTCTGCATTCGGTTTCATATAAAAGTCCGGAACTTCGGTCACACTATGTGACGTGCCTGTGCAGGTTTCTTTTTTAATGATACCAATGAGGACGAACAAGTCGTGCGCCTGGTTTTAACGCATGACACGCTTGTCCATAGCAGTTGCAATGCCACTCAGAGACAAGTTGACAAGTCCCATGTGCCTGTAATTTCACCTGCACCCTTACCCTTCAAAACCGAAACAGTAATGCTCACAACGCTGTTAGCCTGCCGCCGTTAAAAGATTAAGTTAGGGTGGTAGTAACCCCGGATGATTAATGCAGTTCTAGTATAAAGTTGTTGATTTTGTAGAACCGAATAATAAATGCTCAATGTCTTTGGTGTTTGGTTTCCTTTGTTCGTTACAAAACCCCAAGGTTTATCCAAATAATTCCCATAGATAAACGATAGTGTGCTTGTCCCGACCGCCTCCCGGGAATATGCTACATTACATCTGGCGGCAGAAATAGGTACTGTCAAGTACTTCCCTGGACGAACTCTTTCACAAGGAAATCTACTGCACTACAGCTACTAACACGACTCAAAAAACGCAACTCACAACAAACAAAATTACGCTCGTCTGAGCTCACCCTTAATTGTGAATTTTGTACTGGCAATACCTCTCGCTAACAGTAAAAGGAAACATTGTGATGAAACTTGTATGGCGAAGAAGGTTCACAACTAAAGGAAAACATGTTAAGTTCCCAACTGGCATTGGGCCAGCAAGGCAGACCCGTGCCCAGAGGGTCTAGTCCCGGTCCATCTGACCTCCGTCCCGAACAATTACTGTCAAATAAGTAATGCTCAACCAAATTAATATTTCATTTCATTCATACTTATTTGACAGTAACTGTTCCGGCGAATGAGAGTAGACCCCCAGCAGTAGGACGTTAATAGGTCGATGAGATGATGAGCAAATAACAGCTATTACCTTGTGAAAATCAGCAGTCACTGAGTGCAAGCGCTGCAACGAGTGCGTCAAATCGTAGCCGTACGAGAAGTATATACCAGGAGCGTTCAACGCGTATCGAAGCATGCGCTCGTATGTGCTGTTATCTTCGATCTATTAAAATTTTAAACCATGTGTTAATATACATCATAGGGTACCAAACTTTGATTTTTTTGTTTTTGATTCATCGCCCACATAGGCATGTTTAAAAAAATTCAACGCCCACCACCACAAAAAATAAATGAAATCACGTACATATTATATCAACTTCACTATGAAAAATCGCAAGGAAATGTATAAATATATATGTGCAAGTGTGGTTTAAATAGATAGTTCAGGTTTTTTTTCAAATGCGGTAGCACTCCTATGACAGCACCAACGCTCCCCAATTGCTCCCAAGGCCCCTACTTCAGCGCCCACTGGGGGCGGTAGGAACCACTTAAGGAAACTATGATATACATGAATGTCTACTTTTCAGTGACATTAGTGAGGTCGTAGAAGAAAATTTCTTAAGTGTCACGTTCTTGCCTTCAAATTAGATGCCTGTAGAAGCGCTGAAGTGGCGCCACTGGTAATTTTCATATAATATTTAGAAGCGCAGTTTCAGCGCCACTATCGTGACGCGCGCGCGCCACTTTAGTGAACTCAAAATTGCGCTAAAGACGCGCGGCCGCCTAGCATCTCCTCATGTGTGCCATCGAGGTTGTCGAAGGTCGAAAGTAAAAATTCAAGAGATCTTTTTTTTTTAGGTAAAAAAACAGAAAGTGTGTTAATTCTTTCAGACGAAATTTACTTTCAAACTTATGTTTGTTTCAAACTTATACTTGTATAGGTACTTATACAAGTATGGAATCTATAATATTGTAACTAATGACGTCGCAACAACCACAGACAGTAAGGAATACACTGAAATCAACTTTCGTCTCATTGATAAATTTGTATATGGATACATAACAAACCTGTTGGCTAGTAAGGTGTGAGGTGGTCCTCACATATGGGATGATATCTACACCTGCTAACTTGTAGATGTCATGGTTATTCACTCTGCCAACCTGCAAGCATACATACGTTTTTAATTAACACACCAAGAAAGTTTTCCGTTAAAACTCAGTTCAGACATTTTTAGCAGCAGTAGAGCTCTTAGTGAAAGAATAATTCGTAGAATAATTCGTCCAGGGGGAAGTACTTACCTATTTCTGCTGCCAAGCAATGAAAGCATATTCACTATTCACATGACGAGCGTTCAACGGGCGTTTCGTTACGCGCGCTCACAACTTACAGAATGTTGTACGTAAATCGCGTTGGTATTCACATGCGAGCGGCCAACGCGCGCTCAACGTCGTGCTAACGCCGGGCACTTGTCAACGCGCGTTGAAGCGCGCTTTAGGTTTGCGTACTGCCGTTCACATGAGCGCGCGATTTTTTTTCTAGAAATGGGTACGGAAGACTTTAATACGGATTTATTCAATGCGCGCTCAACGTCCGAAAAGCGCCCGCCATGTGTACACTACTCGAAAACCAAAAGCGCATTAGGTTTTTGAATCATGTCATGTGAACATACCTTAATGTGAGCATTGCTGCGAAATTACAGGCACATGGGACATAAATAAATAAATAACGAACACATTCATAGTCCTGGAGTACAGAAACCCTGTATCGCGGTTACCACGGACACACACATTGACAACCACAAATTACACCCAAACTCACGGAAGAAATAAATGTAGGTCATACAAATATTTCTCTATGGGCGCAGTGCAGTGCCCCTCAAATCTCTGCAATATAAAGTCTTGAGAGGCACTACAACATGGACGAACGACTATTTCGTCCAGTCACTAAGAGTCGTATTCCAGAACTCTACTCAATGTTCAAGTCAGGACTTGAGTATTATTTAAAGCACTGAAAATCATACTCAAGTCCTTGGCATTAGGGTCGTATTTCCAGTGCTTGAAATCATACTCAAGTCTGCTCAAGTCCTGACTTAAGCATTGAGTAGAGTTTTGGAATACGACCCTCAATATCATAAAAACATCTGAGTATGTTATTTCAACTGCCTCTGTGGCCGAACGGTTCCCATTCCACGCAGAGGTCCCGGGTTCGGTATTAATATTTGTATGGCTTACATTTATTTCTCTCGTGAGTTTGGGTATAATTGTGCTTATCTATGTGCATGTCCATGGCACCTGCGATGCAGGGTGTCCCTAGTGTGGGGCTATGAATTATACATATTATTTGATGACGGAATGAACAAGTCATGCGCCTGGATGTACGCAACAAATCTACTCATAATAGTCAGAGGTACTGCCACTGCAACTATCACACTGACACATAAAGTTGACAAGTTCCATGGGCCTGTAGTTTAACCTACACCCTTGCCCTACAAAACTGGAACGCAGTACCTAATGCTTCCATTACTGCTTAGCGGCAAAAATAGGTATGTTGTTTATTGCATAAAAGAGATTAATGTGTTTTGGATAATAAATGTTTATAATCAGTTTGCGACTAGAATTTTATGTTGCGTACTTTAAAACAGAATTAATATCGAGTTCTTAGGTTTTCACGATTCTTATACATTGGAAATGAAATTATTTTTTCAGATCTAAATCGCATTCATTAATGTTAGACATAACTGGTTGATGATTTTACCATCTCAGTCAGCTGCCGTGAGAAATGAGCCCGAAACGTTGGTTTGTTTGAAAAAGCAAATATACGTTATTTAAATGGGAAAAAAGTTTCATTTAAAAAAAAATCGCCTTACGAGAATGTTAAATTCAGTCACATGTAGAAACATAGTCAAATAACGTAAACAATCATTGGAAACATTATTAAAATTTTCATCAAATTGAACCCATTATCAACTGCTAATACAAAGTGTTAAAGATGCAAAATATTTAACATTATTCGTGAACGGTATTCGTGACGCCACAAGAGATAGGTCGTATTTTTAACCGACTTGAAAAAAGGAGGAGGTTCGCAATTTGTCTGCATGTTTTTTTTATATTTACAGATGGTATTTATTTCACAGAGTATTATACAGGATACAAACAGTGTAACGTGATATGGGCAAGTTTTCTCACACCCTATCCAAAAAGGACGAGAGCAACCGATGCAGTACCCAGGATACAGACTCCTGACAAAAGGCAGTACTAGCCCGCTCAGTACTAGTACCAGAGAATGGTTTCCTTTAGGATGCAGCCCTAAGATGCTCATTACAGTGGAGTGGAGAGTTGCCATAATCCAACCAGTGATAGACATTCTACAGTGGAAAATTTCAACACTGCAATTTAAGATTTCAGAGAAATTGAAGTGTCCCCAAGAGAAAAAAGTGTCAAAAATTCAACTTTGGTATTTAAAAACTACATTGATAGGCAAACAGCCGGTCATCAGTGGTTTTTAATATTGTTTTGCATTGAATTTAGTAGCATCTAGAGTATGATAGCTAGCAAGTTTGTTTGCGTTTGCCCATATAATATGAACCATTGTCGTATGGTATATATACATATAGACAACTTAAAAAAAATTAATAAGGTAATTGAGATTTTTTAAATTTAATTAATTGTGCTTTAAACTTTATATAAGTTAATAAGTGTATATTGTATATTTATAATATATATATGGACCGTGGTGTCTGAACGTTTAATTTGTTGCCTGCCTTTTGGTTTGATTTGGTTGGTTGCCTGGAAGAGATTGCTATTTAGCAATAGGGCCGCCTGTTGTACATGTAATTTTTACTTTTTGTTGTATTGTTATTATGTATTTGTACGTGTGAAATAAAAAATATTTGTATTTGTATTGTATTGTTTTTATTAATAAAAAATTCAATTTTGTGAAGCATTCATATAGGTAATTGCAAAGTCAAGAGCAAAAAATGTGTCTAAATAATTAAATAAACATGTTGCCGATAAGTCTATTGCATATATGTATAACAAAATTATACAGTTACATATTTGTTTAGTCTTTTGATACTATTGTTATATGGCATAGTTCAATTAATGCATTATTTTGACTTTGACTGTACAACAGATAGAAAACATATTATTATTATCTACTCACCACAATTCTGTACTTGGCCACAATGAGGTAATAACCGGAAATGAGCTTGATGGATCCAAGGAAGCCACATACAGGCTTGTATGCATTTGGAGGTATTGGAATTTTCACTTTCTCCACACCTAAAATAAATGTATCAATATATAAATATATCATATAATAGTTCAGAGCTGAAGAATGGTATAGCCGCCAGATATACAGGAAAAGAAAGATATTGTCGGGGATAGTGCAAATCCGTGTATGTAGCATTGGTAAAAGGCTGGTAGAGGGATTTAACATTATTACTTTGTTATTTCAATGGCTACAACTTTCATCTTTGCACAGTAAGCATTAATTTAAGTTGTCTACATACTGGTAACAATAGATTCCGTAAATCACTCTAATGTGGTTGCCACAACATTTAAGCAGATTTGATTCGGCCTCTAAATTACTGAAATGGAAACTCATAACCACAATGCAATTACGCATAATTGCACTATCCCTGACGATATGTTGTTAGGGAAGGCTAAAGGTTGAATTAAAAAATATAGTTTACCCTCAACATATGCCACTCCAGAAACTCTATCAATCACCATAATTTCTTTAGGATTGATTGTTGGCTCCAAATAGAATTTTTCTGCTGTTGTATATCTAAAATGAAAATTTCATATTATACTTTCAAGTTTCCATAGATTTTGTAAGATTTCCTTCATGTTTATAATGGTTATGGTAATTTCTAATTTTAACTAATAACAATTGAATTATTATACCTAATTTGCGCCTAATCAAAAATGAGATCACCATGATAAATTAGAAAAAGTTTGAGCGCTGTATAGCTATAATACCGCATTGAATGTTTCGGAAAGGCAAAAAAAATTCAGTGCTTTTACTCATTATGTACAGGAAATAGACTTAAAATTATGAAAGAGTTGTAACATAATTAATTAATGAGAATTGTCTATTTCTCATTAATTAATTATGTTTATTTAAAAGGTTTCAGAAGGAAACAGGTTTATGTACGTCGACAATATTGTAATGAATCTAAGCAAGTTTCCGTTTTTGGAACTTCTTAGGCGAACATGGATTTTACTCACAGTTTGATGTCATCGTGAATATTCACTTGATCTGCCATTTTATATAATTTTATACAGCATTAATGCTATTTTTCAAGATAGACCTGCAATCAGATAACATGAACAAGGAAATCTCGAACGTAGTCTGTGAGTGAGAACGGTGAGAACGAAGGAATTATTGAATGATAGCAAATGGCATGACATGCACGGTAGATATGACATGGACAGCAAATAGTGTTGTACGCCTTTTGTAAACAATTTCAAACAAACGATCAAAATAATGCCAAACAATTTCGTTGGCTGTACAGTTAGTATTTGTCGAATACAATATCCACTAGAAATTTTGGCCTGATATAGTTTGCTAGTTGGTATAATATTGCCTTCTATCCAGCTAGTAAAAGAACGATAACCTAAAGCATAAAATTTAATTAGATTAGATAGAGATACTACGTCCTATTAGCCACAAACTGGTTTTATACGCCGATATTATAAATAAATACGGATACGGATAACGGAATCAAAAGATAACATTATATCACATTACATTACGCTTATACCGTTTTACGCATGTATTTGTTCTTGGTAAACAACACTATGGGTTAAAATTTCGTTCAAATATGGAATGGAACGTAACAATAACATGTGAGTTTGAGAGATAACCTCACGTTTTCCAAAATCATAGGAAATTAATTTAGTTTTCTAGTGTAATGTGCAGTGATAATTAATAATGTCGTTAGAAATACATCCGGGCTTCATAAGGACCATTAAAGATGGCGAAGAAATTGATGTTTTAGACGAGGAATCTGATGAGGAAATCGATGTAAGTGGAGTGTCACCTTTTCGTGTTTTTATTTAATTTTGTCTACGTTTCATTATTTTTATTAACATGGAAATGCAATTATTGTAATTACTTGCAGTTTTGGGGGATTTCTATAGGAAATAAAATACTTTTACAATGAAGTAAAACCAATGTATTCGTCCTAAAATACAACGTGTTTTTACTTGTATAAAGTTTTAAACGCCTTTAAAATTAGTTTTGTCGAACCCTAAAATTAGGCTATGTAAACTACATTCTTGTATAATTTGGCAGAAAAAGCGAAAAATAATAGATAACATCTATTACAAAGCCAAATCTATTGGATAGTTCATTTAGTTCTACATTTCTTTATTTCAGTATCAACCATCTAAGCAAAAGGTGAAAAGGAAAGCTGATTTTAACCCAAAATTCCAATTTGTATCTTCAGTGGAAGAATACAGTAAGGTAAGCAAACTTTACTAATAGCATTGTGGAATGAGGGCTTTTAGCCCCCCTCCATTTCCACCACCTGGGACAAAAATCGAGACTCAGAGAAAAAAATCTGTACAAATTGTACTGTACAAATTAAAATATCATGCTTTGACTGCCTTCGGTATCTAGCCTATAATTATGGAAACCTACTTTTGAAATAGTCTCGAATGTCTCGTTTTTTCAATATGGATTTTCAATACCGCGTACCCTTTCGATAAATGTACAGTTTAGATCTTAGCAAATCAAACGAATGCGCTTGTTTGCGAAAGAGGCGCGCGCTGCACACGTGCATTATGTTGCAGTTTGCGCGACATCTAAGCTTGCTTGGCTTGCATGTGATGTGATTACAGATGCGCACTTAACAGCACGCATAAAGCTTGCGTGCAGAGCTCGCAGCGGCGCACATTCTGCGCATTTGCCAGATTTGTACACACCCTTAGATTATTTTCTGGTTTTATGAAACTGTAGTAATTTTACTGTCATGATTTTTTTTAATGAATAGAATAAGTGTGACCTTCATCGTACCTGACAAAAAGTGGCGATGAGGTAAATGATGGAGCGCGTACACTATAATGCCTGCTAATTCTCACCTTGAAAAGGCCAATTTATAACATTCCGGAAATTTCACTCCAATGCCGTACACCATGAAAAATGTAGAAGCGTAATGCTTTGTGAGAATCTTGGGTATATACAAAGATTTAGCAAAATGATTTCATTTCAGTCACCAAAAAACTACAATTTTCATCTTTGTTTGATTTAGTGTTATTCTCTTGCAGAACACATGGGACGATCTTCAGAAGTACGTAAAAAGAAATGTAAAACACACATTGGACCAAAAAATAGAGAGGCGGCGAGCGGAGGTTAGAGTCAATGGGACTTCTGGTGCAGTAGACACTGATTCAGATGTTGACAGTAAAGGTAGTATGGTATAACTGGCAGACGTAATAATGTAGTAATGGATATTTCTCTCATCCATAATACAAAATAAAAATAAAATCATTTAAAAATATATAATTTTAGTAGCAGTACTCCTTGTGAAAGAGTTCGTCCAGAGACATTCTGTCACCAAGCAATGAAGTGGGTATTACTGCGTTTATGTTTTGAAGGGTGGTGAAATTACAGACAAATGGAGTTTTCAACTTATGTCTCAAGGTGATGAGTGCAGTGCCAGTGCCCCTCAGTTCTTTGCGATTTAAAGCTCTGAGCGGCACTGCAACTGTTATGGAAAGGTGTGTCGCTTACCATCAGGCGCACGACTTGTTCGTCCCGTCACTGATATTATGAAAAAAGGGATCAGAGGATTTATAGTCAGAAACAGGTGGACCATTACAATCTCAATCAAAGACGCACGACATCTTCGCCCGTGGCAAGATTTCGTCACAAAAGAAGGAAGAATTCTAAGATTTATTAAACATTTTCTGTACAATTTTATTGCACCATTTGTTAAAAACCATTTTAAATTTCCATGTTATCACGTTTTACTAGGCAATTCCCGACTAGAAGAGTAATGAATAACTACATTTTTAGCCGACTTTGAAAAAGGAGGAAGTAGAACATCCTCCTTTTTCGTTTGTATTTTTGTTGTTGTGTGTATGTTACCGATTTCATCAGATCGGATGATCTCGGTAGCGGCCCCATACAGATTTGAACAAAATATTCCAACTCTAAGAATCCGGTTTATTTAATTTCACTCCCTTTCTGTTAACTAATTTCAATAAAACTTGGCACAAGATAGATAACGATTAGATAACATGACCATCATTTTTTTGCCTTAGAACAGGACACCTGTGAATTTATTATTGTTTTAAAAATAAAACGTATATTTATGATAGTTACGAAATGTTTAATGATCAAACATTTAAAAAAAGAACTTGTTTAGTCTGGTGGAATGGCTTTATATGTATATTTACGCTTTTGCGCCATTTTTTTAAATTTATTGTCACGTGTGTCCTATTTTGTGAAAACAGAACATTTTAAAGTACGTATGTATGGTCACGTTACACATATATACATATAATTCCAATGAAAATAAAATACAGCAGAAACGGATAATAAAACTTTTGAAGTTGGTGCTTTTTTATAAACTTATTATTTTAACTTTATTTCATAATCTTGGATTCAAGTTCTTCAGTTTCTACAACAATTTGATTTTTTACAACGTGCTTATGTTTCAATTCCCGTCATCTATGTTTCCTAAACAAATTAATTCATCAATGTGAATAATAATTTAATAAATAAAAATAAAACTCGTTTTTTAAACTATTTTGTAAGCTCAAACTATAAAGCGTTTATGTGAAAAGCGTTTAAAAAAGCACGCTTTTAAAAAAAGCACTATACAACGTTTTAACGTTTAAAAAAATAAACAGTTTTTCCCATCTCTATACGTAACAGTTATATCGCGCTGCACACGGGATAATTTGAATTTTTCTGACGACATTCAATAGCAAGTTGATTGAAAAAAATGGTTACCAAATTAGTGAAATGTGGTTATGTGAAACGATAATAAAAAAAAACTTTAATTGCTAATTTAAATTACAGACAGGCCATTTGGCACTTTTTTCAATCAACTCGTTATTGAATATCGTCAGGAAAATCTTGTTGAAATTATCCCGTTTGCAGTGCGTCATAACTATTACGTAAACTGATTCTCCTTCCGCACCGCGCAGCTACCTCAGGAACCGTCGCAGTTAAGCGGTAGGCCTGTACTATGTTATTACTATTACTGCTTTATATCATTTTCTATGTTTAATTTAATTTCAGAAGGCGATGTGGACGAACTGGAAATATCCGACGATGAACTCAAACAGGACGCTATCAAGACCAAGGAAAAGAAACTGTCCAAGAAGCAAAAACTTAAACAGGTCAGCATGCATAAATTGCACAGATTTCGCTATTATTGTGTAGCAAAAATTATGACCGTATCATAATACAAAACAAATTTAGGATAAATAAAAAGAAAAACAAAATTTGCAAGATAGATATAGGAGCCATATAACAAAATAGTGATACATATATGTATTGGCCACCATACTCCGTGCATGTCGACGTGACTTTAGCATAGAAATGCTAAATTAAATTATAAAATGATAAAATAAATAGTGGTTGTTCATCTAACCGATACCTAGGATTTTATAATACTCTGTGTGAGTTTTGCCGAATAAAACTGAGAAAAAAAGTTACGTTTTATGCTCATTTCTATGAATTCGAAACTTTAAAACGCTCCCCTGTAAACTTGGCAATTTCGACATGCGATAGTTTAGGAGTTGATGTATTATAATTATAGTACGCAGAGAAAGACTTGCAAAAAAAAATCTTCTTGAGATGCCATTTCCTAGCGGAGGTCGGCTATAGTTAGGGGTATCTGTATTTTAGACACAGCTGCACGGAACAAGGATCTTGTGCTCAGGTTGAACCATGTCCGGAGATTCGTAAGCCGCAAAGCACGTCTTCTTCCAGGTTGTCGCTTTTCCTGTTTTTTTCCTTACATGATTAGTCGGAGTAGGTCGTCGTCAAGGAATGTTTCCTTTAAGTAAAAATTTCTAAGTACTTTCCCTCCAGGTGGCATTACAAATTTCCGACCTGTTTATATATATAATCTGTCTATCTGAATGTATAAGACCATACCTATATCTAAATCTAGGTACAATAGATTTTTTGCCATAGCTTAATAATCTATTAACCAGTGTCAGTTCTGTACAATTCATTTTCCATCCTTTAGAAGAAGAACATTTATCCCTAAAACAACAATCAACTGCCTCCGTGGCCGAACATTACCACACTGGACTGCCACGCAGAGGTCCCGGGTTCGATTCCCGGGCCGGGAGAAATATTTGTATGGCCTTATTTCTCTCGTGAGTTTGGGTATACTTTGTAGTTGTCTATGTGTGTGTCCATGGCACCCGCGATACAGGGTTTCCCTAGTGCGGGGCTATAAGTGTGTAAAAAAATGTATTTTTAGGAACTCGAAGAAGATGAAGAAGAAGGGGGTACACGCATTGAATACGACTCGGACTTCTTTGAAGAGCCGCCTCCGTACGATGAGAATGCTTCATTCTACATGATGAACCTATCCAGACCTCTCATGAAAGCCATCGGCACTTTGAACTATGTACATCCTACACCCATCCAGGCTAGCACAGTACCTATTGCGTTGTTGGGTAAGTTAGAAGAATTATTTAGTGATGTTCGGATTGATATATGTTATGATGTTAAGGGCTGGTGTCGGCCACTCTGGAACATTATGGTAGGATACGTGCGCCCGTTTCCTCCTCCATGCTCGCTCTGCACAGAGCTGTTTATTGATAGGTTGATGTTATTGGTCAGTTTGAATATTCTATACCACATATCTCGTGACGTTAGAATCATGTGTTTAGCCAGTTTGAATTTCTTTACTGTCTTCTTTTAAGTTGGTTGGTTGATTACAAACCCATTATAAATACGTAAGGCGTACGATGACCGAATTACGTTGGTCATAAGTAGTGTTGGGTCTTGGAAAAAATTCCATTTTGTAAAAAGCTTATTTTTCCGGATATTTTTTCTTTAATTTTCCACATTTGATGTTGACACCGTCAAAAGTTGAAGTGACTGAATGAAACTGATAAGAGTCATTAATTAATTTTTTTTTCGCAGTTGTGAAATCAATAATCAAGTTTATTTAAATTTATTATAAAACTTCAAAATATATTTCTAACTGTAGAATATAATATAAGGCATCGAAATTAAAGTTATTAGGGAATTTTGCGGAAAAATTCCACTATTTTAAATCTTTCGGAAATTTCATGTTTGATATGTCAAAATTCTGTGTTGAAAATATGCCTTTTTTCGTTAACATAGCGTCAAATTTGAACACCGAGCAGTTTAATATGATTGATGGAGTAAAGGTTGACATGTGGCTGAGTATACTTAAGGCGAAATTCTTGCGTAGGTTTGAAGCGTATGGGATAGATGCTAAGAAATCTATTGCACGACATTTAAATATTTACCTTTTAGAAATAAAATATACTCCCATACTATAAAATGAATACGAGAGAGAAAATTCAATTTCAATATCTCTATTAACAATCGAATTGAACTGATTTTTCCGTAGAACTATATTCTGTAATCTGTGGTAGAACGTAAATTTTGCAGAACATTGTGATTTTTTTTATCAAGCGATGTTTAATCAATCGTGTTTCGAGCCCTATAGATCACTACCGGTATCTTTTTCATTATGAATTTTTCAAAAAGTTGAATTTGTATTTGTATTTTTCGTCCACAAAACAATATTCCGTGTGGTCGAAAAACGTCAAAACGTTTTTTGGATCTCACTTCACCTTAATTTTAAGTAATCTTATGTATACACGTGTTTTAATGAAGCTGTAAGTACTTTGACTTCTCTTGCTAAAAACAGAAAATACCGATCTTCTGTCTTTATTATCAAAAACAAGTTGAATTCGTGTTATTTAAAGTCGAAAAACCGATTTATATTGTGGTCGAAATACGTCAAATCGTCTATTTGTGTCTTACTTACTCTTTAATATTAATGCTAGATCTGAGAGGTCTACTCAAAACATCCATACCAGATCCCAAGACCGAGATTAGAACCTAAGGTGTCTCATGTTTGTTTTACTGTTTAATTGTTGAAGCATCGAGGTCTCAATAACATATATTTTTATTACAGGCAAAGACATATGCGCGTGCGCAGCCACAGGCACGGGTAAGACAGCAGCGTACATGTTGCCCATCTTAGAGAGACTGTTGTATAAATCAGTTGGCGGTGACAGGGTCACTAGAGTACTAGTGTTGGTGCCTACCAGGGAACTTGGTGCACAGGTAAGTGTATATTATCACAAACAATGTAATTATGATATCGATTGTGACTTTAGTGATTATTCCTTAAGAGTCTATACAACCTCAGGTGGCTTTAGTTGATGATAACAGCGAAAGTGTTGGATCAATTACTTCGGAAAAAATATATAGCAAACTTGAAGATATACACTGATTACTATACGGTAGTGAAAACACGATTCCTAAAATGTTCACTATAGAAAAAAAACACAAACTTACCTCGAAATTTTACAAATCGTTGTATTCAATAGGTACTTTACATATATTATTTCTGTAAACAACTAAATAGAACACGTATATTATACGATGTACATTTTGAAATGGCTTTAATTTCGTTTGTGAAAAAATGAAGTCAATGTAATGACCATGTACTCACAATATATTTATGATATAATAGTTTATGCGCGCCAAAACTTGGCTACTTATGAGCGACGTACGGGCGGAGGCCGAGCGTTACGAAACGCGGGAACACTAAAATCCGTTGCCCACCGAACCGAACTTGCAACTAGAAATCCGCGGGTAATAGGTCCCCGATTCTGCGAACATCTACCCACAGACCTGAAAAGTGTTAGAAACGATGAAACGTTTTGTACCCGACTAAAAAACCTTTTATTGGATATTGAATTGTACAGTGTCGATGAGTTTCTTTTGAAACAATTTTAATATTATTTTATTCGACAAGCAGTAGTTATACTACTTTATTTTATATTCATTATTATTATTGTAATTTTATTACTGACGATCATAGGTATCCCTTGACATTGTATTTCCAATTGCAATATTGTGACATTGATAACATGACATAAACGATTCTATTCTATTCTTTTGTTCAATGTCGCTGTCGCTCGACCCATGCAAAATGAACCGCATTAGTACGGAATTAATGTGAATTCGAGCAAAGGTAATATCGACTCATAAACAATCATCGCTTGGTACAGGGTGCTAAGAAACCTATAACTATCTATAGAACATGATTCTTGTCTATATGTGCATTTACTCTCGAACTCAGTAGTACATATTGAATGGTTTTATATTTACTGCCTCTGTGGCCAAACGATTACCATGCTGATCTCCCACGCAGAGTTCCTGGGTTCGATTCTCGGGACGGGAGGACTTTTGTTTGGGTGTAATTTGTAGTTGTCTATGGGTGTCTCCATGGCACCCGCGGTACAGGGTTTCCCTAGTGCGGGACTATGGGAGTGTGCGCTATTATTATTATTAATGAAATTGTCTTTTACTGCAATATTTGCTGATAAGTAATGATAATTGTTAACAAATACCCTCCTTTTTTGGGATCGGTTAAAATAAAAATCTGTAGTTGCATCAATTATGTAGATAAAAATATAAATTGTGGTTTAAATTATTTTTCAGACCCCATCATTTTTGTGAAAAACGTGGCATTTTAAGGCAGGAATAGTATAACGTAATTATTAAGTTATTGAATGTCACGATATTTGACCACCATGATATTCAATTATTTTTTACTCTACTAAACTTACTCCAGTAGTTTTTTATAATAATTATTAATACAAATATCGAATGTTTAGAAATTCGTTCGTTCCGGCTGGATTCGAACCAACGTCTTTCAGCAAGCCGTGCCCTGCTATTGTGTAACGTTTTTCGGACTAACTCCAATAAAATTGTCAACAAAACAATCAATTAGTAGCTGTAAAGGTCCTGGCTGAATGAAGAAATAGATTTCTCACAGATGGCGCTGCGGCAAAAACATAGAGAAATTCGTAAGGTCCATTAATCGTACCGTGGTTTAGTTGGCATAGCGTCTAGCACGGTTTCCTGGAAGACGCTGGTTCGAATCCAACCGGATCGAAGGAATTTTTTTCTTTGTGTTCGTCATCTTTGTATTAATAATTAAAACATAATAACAATAATATCAAGACAAAAAAATAATAAATATCAAGACAGCTTGATGGTACCCGTATTATTCAATTTATGTCCTTTGCAAAGTATTTATTCTTTGTCCTCCTGATACAATGTCTCTCATACGACGATTGAAAATTAAATGTTTTTTCTACCTAGGTACACACGGTAACGAGACAACTAGCACAGTTTACTTCAGTCACAGTTGGGCTGTCGGTTGGAGGATTAGATGTCAAATATCAGGTAATTTTATTGCGTATTTTGACGTACAGCGTGTTCAAAATATCAGTACATAAAGTATTGTATCTGTTCTCCCGAAAGCGCAAGTATAGTCAGAATCACGTCAGTTTTTTTTTATTGGTAAGAATATTAAAATCGCTCCAAATACGTTAACTTACTTGCGGTGTACTGACAAATCTGTAATAGGTTTATTCGACACCGTTTTATGTTTTTAACGGTTACCTATCGTTCGTAGTAGTTAGTTAGTTAGTAGTTCCAAATGATATTTTCCAGAAATAACGTTTACTCGAATTTTCGTAACTCCAAAAATAATTGAGAGAAAAATGTTTTCTCTTTTAAACCTAATTTAACCTAACCTAATCGAGTCTTTGCGATAAACATCCAACATATCCTGAAAGAACAACGGTTTCGTTATAATACGGTTTTCGGTGTAATGAAAATTCGACGAAAAGTTATTTCGGAAAAAAATTCGAGTTTGTGATAGGTTACCGTTTTACTTACTATAAGCGAAATGCTGTAAATAAAATGTAAATTAAAAGAAATGTTGAAGTTGAAGAGCGGGGTGACGTTTACAGAAATGGGAGGAGTTACGTTTACATATATTTTGATCGGATTGTATTGTCATAATTATTATAGCGGTGCAATCTGCTGGAGATGTGCAGTTTCTTCTTTAGGCCGTCTTCAAATTAGACGCTTGTAGTAGCGGTGTAGTAGCGCGACTGTGCCGCGGTAGCAGCGCGTCTGTAGCGCTTCAGTAATTTTTAGTCCACTAATTCTGCTCTGATTGAAGCCGAAAAGTGCTATCTCAATCGGAGTAAGTTTTGAGAAAATCGACTTTTTGTAAATTGTATTTATAAAAATAAATCTTTTTGAAGATGTTAAAACTTATTTATACGTATTTTTGACTAACAGATTTATTGACATACCTAAATTATCCAAAAATTGTATCTACCTATTTTGTGAGATACCGCTATTTTGATTATAAAGGAAGCCGCCAAATCTATTAGTAATTTAAGGAAAAAATGAGATATAAAAATACTTCTTAGTGGTTTCCTAAATGTTCTAAGTTAGATAGAGCTGTTTATTAGAGCGAAATTATTATAGCTATTGATAGATAAAAACTAAAAGGGCGTATCTCGGAGGTAGCGCCTTTCGACTTAGCAGGGTAGAATTGTGACTGGCACTCGGCGGTCACGTTAGTGGCGTTGCAACTGCGCTTCTAAATATTGCATGACAACTAGTAGTGGCGCGGCTGCAGAGGTGCGTAATGTAATAATAAGCGTCTAATATGAAGGCGCCCTAAGTGTAGTCAGCATAATATCACATTTTATAGAATAGGTCAGAGTCAGTGGCGGATTTGCGGTCTTGGCTACCCTAGGCTCCCAGGCCATGTGGTCAGTACCAGTCGCCCCCTTTCTTAGCACTCACCACATTCTGGTAGACTACATATTCACAATGAATTTACTTTATTGCCAACTTTTATCGAAATCGATTCAGAACTTTAGTAAACTATAATGGCTGCTAGTTTTTAATAATAGGGGTTAAAGTATGAAATTGCCGATTTGTACTGAAAATCTAAATTGTTTATTTTTTAAATTTTTAACAAATTTATTTAATCAAAATAGTTGCCATTATTATCTATACATTGCTGCCATCTAATGGGAAGGTTATTAATGCCTTTGCGATAGAACTCCGACGATCTAGACTGCACAAACTGTGTGAAAGCATTTTGTACTGCCTCCTGAGAAGAAAACTTCTTGTCACGTAGATAATTGTCCAAATCACGAAAAAAATGGTAGTCCGTTGGAGCAAGGTGTGGTGAATACGGAGGATGACGAATGGTTTCTAACTGCAGTTCCTGAAGGGTCAAAATGGTTTCTCGTGCTGTGTGAGGTCTCGCGTTGTCGTGGAGCAATAATGGTGAAGATCGATTCATGAGTCGGGGCTGTTTTACTGCTAGTTTTGTCAACATGGTTCGGAGTTCGGCACAATAGACATCTGCCGTTATTGCTTGACCAGATCGGAGAAAACTATAGTGAATAACACCATGCTGAGACCACCAAACAGTTACCATTACCTTTTTATTGGTAAGTTTTGCTTTAGGACACTGTTGTGGCATTTGACCTGGGGTCAGCCATTGCATTTTTCTTTTCCGGTTATCATAAAGAATCCACTTTTCATCACATGTTACAATTCGATCCAATATTCCTTCATTTCTGTACCGGTTCAACAAGGCAACACAAGTTTCAACACGCGTTTCTTTCTGCAGATCAGTCAAATCATGAGGCACCCATTTTTCGTATTTTTTTATTTTATTGATTTGACGCAAGTGAGTCAATATTGTGGGTAAGGTAACGTTAAACCATGCCGCTAATTCCTGGGTAGTTTGACTAGGATCGGCTTCCACTATCTCTCTTAATTCATCGTTATTCACCTGTGTGGGCGGTCTTCCTCGTGGCTCGTTCTTTAAGTCGAAATTTCCATCACGAAAGCGTTTAAACCAAAATCGCACGGTGCGTTCATTAGTAGACCCCTCTCCAAACGCAGCATTGATATTGCGGGCTGTTTCTGCCGCGTTAGTTCCGCGTCGGAACTCGTATTCAAAAATCACTCGAATTTTCGCAGTATCCATCTTTCTTGTCTAAATTGAATAACAAAAACAATTGAAAGTCGATGTTCAAATGTTTCAATTTAAAAAAAAAAATCACAGAAACCATTTGAAAAAAGTTTCATTCGAAAACCTCAAACCATGAAGATTCTATGAAAATTCAAAGAACCTATTGCAATAAAACGGCAATTTCATACTTTAACCCCTAATATTTTCGGAGGTTTCAGATACATTACAGATTTGTAAGATATCTATATTTTATACATAAAATGTACGAAAGTGATTTAGGAAAATTATTGTTATGCAGCGTAGTGCGGTCCGCATTTTGTGTCTGGGAGCCTTTAGGATATTTAGGTACTTTTACTTATTTCGTGTTATCATCAGTGAATTTTTTGTCACGATTGACCGCCCCTGAAATCTGGCCGCCCTAGGCCCGGGCCTACTGGTCCTTAGGGCAAATCCGCTACTGGTTCGAGTAATTAAAATCGCTTGAGAGACTTTACTTACTGCAATTGTTGAGGCAACAGTACCAAGTGGGCGAATGCGTGGTGACGTTAGCTGAAGTGGCAAAGGTCGAGATATTTGTATTGTTGTCATAATAATCATCTTGTAAAAGCCGTAAAAACGGACCACAACAATAAATTCAGGAGATGGTCAGTTTCTCGTTATAATTAAAGCTATTTTTAATTCACTCGTTTAATTCATTCAATTAAAAATTTTAAAAAAGCATTCCTATAGTACGTTTGCGTTAAGAATTCAGAGAGTTGTCGGTGCAACTGCAGGTTCATTCACAGTGGAGTTAAACTTCAAACAAATTATATTTTAAAAGATTAAGGTTAGTGGATAAAAATAAACTTAATGGTTTAAATTCAAATAAAGTCATTAAGTTTAACTGCCTTCGCGGCCGAACGGTTACCATGCCGGACTGCCGCTCAGAGGTCTCAGGTTCGATTCATGGGCCATCTCGGGAGAATATTTGTTATAAAACAATTTTCTTCTACGAGTTCTATGACGTCATCCAAATTCCACACGGTGTTTTCTTCTTTTATTACGTGGTTGCGGCATTTATTCCACCGATTAGCATCCTTCGAACGTCTGCCTTTAACTAATAGACCAGATGATCTGTGTTTGAACTAGTCACTGTGAACTTGATTTTTTAATTTTGAGCGACCTGGGGGTCGATTCAGAACCTTACGACAACTCAGTTCTCGACCGATGCGATTTGATTTCGTACGATTTCTTTTAATTTTTATTCACAACATCCGAATCGAAAGTCAAAACTGTCGTATTCGAAGCCGAACCGAAATGACGTCACACCTGTACGATTACTCGAACTTCTCGACCGACAAAGGGTACAAACGTTATTCAGAATGTTGTTTACAAAGCAAGAATGTAATATGGAAATATCATACTTTTTAAAATAAAGTCTGGATTTTGTTCAATTTTATTAATTTATTTTAATGCAAGACTAATGCCTTTAAAGTCTTAAAAATGTATATATATAATAGATTTTCATTTTTCTTATAATCTATTTCACCGACTAACTCCGTAAACCCTATTGGATAACGATATCGTATCCGAATCCAAATGGAACGCTTAACTCGAATGTTCTGAGTAGCTCGGAAAGCGCCCTTCGATTCGAAAACGATATCCAATCGAACGATTCGGTATAATATCGAAGAGTTCTGAACCGGGTCCTGATTGGATACAGGTCGTGGTTAGGACAATGATTCACTGCATTCTTAACGCGAACGTACTATAGTGCATATTGGTAATTAGATAAAATGTTTTCAACTTGTTTGTATGCCTAATATAAAACCGTATGAGGACCTTCTATTTGTAGTCTGTACTTTTAGGGAACTAAAAACTTTACTTTGAAGACGCCCTAAATGTTTATGAGCAGCTAATGCTTTGTATGAGAGATGAAGAATAAAAAAATGTAGGTAATTTGTAGAAATACAATAACAAATTGGATTGCTGTGTACATCTCTCTCGTATTATGCAATGGTTAAACCCATTGTTATATCCACACTTACAGGAAAGCGTACTCCGTAAAAACCCGGACATTGTGATAGCAACTCCAGGTCGATTGATCGATCATATCAGAAATACGCCATCCTTCAGCTTGCACTCCATTGAAGTGTTGGTACTGGACGAAGCAGACAGGTAAGGTCACAATGTCACAATATCAAATCATGCAATCACGCACATCTTCAACATGCAGGTTTCATCTCGATGGTCTCCTTTACCGAAAAGCTCATGGTAAATTTCAAATTTATAAGCACATAAGTTCCGAAAAACTCAGAGGTGCGACTTTGAATTCGAACACACGGCCTCTGTTTAAAGTATAATTCCGAACCGAATAAACAGTGGCGCATACATTAGATTATAGAACAGTTCACACGGTGTTTATCCTGCAAAAAACGGACGAATGCTGCAAATATCGAGTATATAACCAGAAATAGAGACGAAATAAGGGTCGTACATTCCTGGTAACACATTAGCGATACAGCTCTTATAAATATCAACTCCCGTTTGCACTGAATTAGAGACAGACCAACTACTGACCTGCGTGTACGTCTCCGTATATTCCAAAAAATATTCTGTATTTATTGTAATAAATATAATATCTCTAACAATGCCGTGCTGTTCTATTCGGTGGTGTGGGAAAAACAGCAAAACATCTAAGTACATAACAAACGGAATCACATTTCATCGGTAATTCAATATTAAATATGTCATTTTGCAATTTTCGTCCATTATAGCAAAGCTCAAGTTAACTGGTCGATTTGAAATGAAACAGTTGACAACACCCGTCAATTGTTTCGAACTCGGGCTAGCCAATCGGAACGCATTTGTCACAGTAATGTTATGGCAGAATAGTTTTCAAACAAATTAAAAGACATTTCGTCTCTATTTCTGGTTATATACTCGATGGCTGTATGCCGCTGGCTGGTGGATGACGAAAACCGTGCAGTGCAATGCGTATGTTGTATGTTGTGTTTTGTACGTAACATTAGTATTGTTATTCGTGACACAAAAGGGGGTGGTATTACCTGTTCGGTGCGCCAATGCGCTCGGAGCGTAGGGTTGTCACATTATAATTTTAGTTGTACCATGGACGAAATAACACAAGAGGACTGATAATCGCTATACAACATAGAGTAGTCGAGTATTTCGTACCTATTACACCAGATGCCGCGCCATAATTTGTTTTATATTGACGAGCTGTAGTTTGTTATAATTATTAATACAAAGATCGAACGAGAATCGATCCGCTGGTTCGTTCCGTGGCTTAGTTGGTATGCGTCTGGCACGGTACGCTAGTAGACGTCGGTTCGAATCCGGCCGGATCGAAGGAATGTTTTATGAGTGTTCGATCTTTGTATTAATAATTATAACAAACTAGTGGAGTGATTTAACATAAAAATAATTGAATATCAATTCAATAAGAATTTAAATAGAGCTGTAATTTATCAAGCCTACTCTAATTTCTAGTGATAACAAACAAAACAACTAGATGGCTAGATTATTGAACTGATTTTTATGGATACTGCCTAATACTGATTCTTTTATATTATTTAGGATTAGCGCCATCTACCAATATTAGTAAGCTTTAATTTATAAATTAGTTTGTAACTCCCAATGCTATCAATTGACACGCATGTGGTAAAATCTTCACAAGCGTCCAACAATCCATGTTTTCAGAATGCTTGACGAATATTTCGCGGAGCAAATGAAGGAGATAATCCGGCAATGCTCACCTAAACGCCAAACAATGTTGTTCTCGGCAACAATGAGCGATGAGGTGAAAGATCTCGCCGCGGTGTCTCTCAAGAAACCTGTCAAGCTGTTCGTTGACTCGAATAAGGATGTGGCTTTCAATTTGAGACAAGAGTTTGTCAGGTATGTTTTTTTATGATGACAAATGACGGGACGAATGTGTCGTGCGCCTGGTGGTAAGCGACACGCACGTCTATAACACCTGCAGTGCCACTCAGAGCTTTAAATTCACATTCACAGACGTTTTAGTTAATTCTTTTTTTTTGTTTTAACATAGCCCCGCACTAGGAAAATCCACACATAGACAACTACAAATTATACCCAAACTCATTAGATAAATAAATGTAGGCCATTCAAATATTTCTCCTGGCCCGGGAATCGAACTGGGACCTCTACGTGGGAGTCCAGCATGATAACCGTTCGGAGGGAGGTAAATGAAAGCCGCTTTATTGGAGGTTTTTGTAGGGTCCTCTTTTTTTAATGCTCAACAACTGTGTCTTAATTTACTTGACTACTGTCTTAGCTGGTATAGCGTCTGCCATGGTATGCTAGAAGACGTCGGTTCGAATCCGGCCGGATCGAAGGAAATTTTTCTGAGTGTACGATCTTTGTATTAATAGTTATAGCAAACTAGTGGAGTAATTTCACATAAAAAGTAATTCAATGTCAATTCAATAAAAATTGAAAATACAATGAATGGCGACATCTCTAGCCAGGGTGTTACGGGGTAACTAAATAAAAGAAGAATACCCTTGTAAACAAAA